CCCCCTATGCCTGAAGACAAAAGTTTTCAATCAGTGTGTATGCTATCTATTCTAACATATGCCAGTGAAACATTGACACTAATCTCACAATCAATACAAAAGTTGTGATTTCTGCAAAGAGCCATGGAAAGATACATGCTTGGCATCGCAAGATGAGATAGAAAGACCTGCACATGGATTAGAGAACAAATGAAAGTATATGATATCATCAAGAGAGTAAAATAATGGAAATGGAAATGGGCTGGTCCTATAGCAAGAAGAACTGATGGCAGGAGGACCAAGGCAGTCATAGAATGGATTCCACTTGATAAAAAGCCTCCACAAAAGAGACCAAAACCAAGATGGATCGGCGACATCCATCGTCGATCCATCAGTATTGCAGGCCCAATTGGCAAAAGAAAGCTCAGGACTATATTAGTTGGAAACATGTGGAAGAGGCCTTCATCCTTCTGCAGTGGATAGACAATGGCTACAGGTTGACCATAAATGAAAACCTAACAACCTTGAAGTATTAGATTCGCCCATTTTTTTTCAGAAATTCAGTTGGGAAGAGGTGGTTCTTGTATATCAGGGCAATCCTTTCCACAGGAGGGATACCTCCATTGAAAAAAACCTTGTTGCAAAATATCTGTAAGTGGAATTTCTTTGGAAATAGGGCACTTCAGAAGGTGTCTCCCAATTATTACAGGATAAGCAAATTCATTTTGGAGAGAAGAGTCCTGGAGGAAGTAGTTCTTAAAGGTGATAAACAGTGGTGGGATTCAAAAATTTTTACTACCTGTTCTGTGGGCGTGGCTTGGTGGGTGTAGCATGGCTTGGTGGGTGTGGCTTGGTAGCCGTGGCAGAAGGATACTGTAAAATCTTCATTCCCAGCCCACTCCAGGGGAAGGATACAGCAAAATCCCCATTTCCTCCTGACCAGCTGGGACTCGGGAGGCAGAGAATAGATGGGAGTGGGGTCAGTCAGAGGTTGTATTTACCGGTTCTCTGAACTACTCAAAATTTCTGCTACCGGTTCTCCAGAACTGGTCAGAACCTGCTGAAACCCACCTCTGGTGATAACTAGATTTTCATCATCTTTGTCTGCCTGTCCTCTGCAGCACAGACACTTTAATTTGGATTCCTGAACTAAGCAGAGGACCTTCTATGGTCCTCCAGCCAACCAAATCTTTATTACACACTTGAAGGGCATAATGAATAGCTTGGAGAAAGTAGAATTGCATCTCTCTGTCATTCATTCAGGGGCCATTTATAGAAGTGACATTAGGTCACCTCTAATCATACAGACCACAATTCTGCTGTATTTATTATCATATTAGTGATGACTTGCTTTATTTCAGAAGGGGCCACATTTTAATTCTGCATTTCATTTGAAGGGAGGCAAAATGTTGAAGATAATGGATAGCATCTAGCAAAGGGGAATAACTGGAATTTGGTTCTGTTTTGCATTTTACAGAGATCAGTTGTATTTTAGGAGTTTTACTTTTAAAAGATGCTCACAGGTACTCCTCACTAAACGTCCCTTTGTTCAGCAACTGTCCACAGTTAATGAACAACTGGTTGGGCTTGCCACTAGTCCTTGAAATTTTAACCATTACAGGGCCCTCTGATCATGTGATAAATGTTCAGGCCAGCAACATTTATAACAGCCCCTATTGCCCCTACCACCTGATTTTCATCATCTTTGTCTGCCTCTCCTCTGCTGGGCTCACCATTCTGGCTACACACAGTAAGGTGCTGAGGCTCTGGGGCTTCTTGCACCCTTGCACACCCTTCCCCACATGGCAGCATGGTTGTTAAGTGAACTCAGCTTTCTCCATTGACTCTGCATGTCAGAAGCTCCCTGGGAAAGTCATACGTGGCAGTTGTGTGATCCAGGGATGCTGCAACCATTGTAAATGCATCCTGGTTGCCGCACCAGGAGCCCTGGTGGTACAGTGGTTAGAATGCAGTATTGCAGGCTAACTCTGCCCACAGGCTGGACTTTAATCCTGTTTGGTTCAAGGTTGACTCACCCTTCCATCTTTTTGAGGTTGATAAAATGAGGACCTAGATTGTTGGGGGCAATATGCTGAGCCCACTAAGAGAGGGCTGTAAAGCACCGTGAAGCAGTATAAAAGTCTAAGTACTATTGCTAAGTGCTATTGATCATGTGACTTTGGGGATGCCGTTATGATCATAAGTGCGAGGACCAGTTGTAAGTCACTCTTTTCAGCACCGTTGTAACTTCAAATGGGTATTAAATGAACAGTTGTAAATTGAGCACTATCTATGTGTGTTTATTCTATCACTAATTGCTGGGCTCCAAGCAGAGGTAAGCCAAGTATGTTTTTTTGAAGTTTTAGCCTTGAAATGTTTACTTTTGCTGAGACCATGAGGACTATAAAGAGCAAAAAGATTGCAGCACGTACCAGTATCAATGAATAGATGTCTCTCCACTTTAAGGTAAAGATTTATGACTTTACATAAAGAGAGAACCTGCCTACAAGATCAAACCTCAGGAAAATGTATCCTGACAACTTCCCCAAAGGCAAACCATGTCAGTGTTCTCTAAGTTATTCCAAAACAACTTGAAAATAAATTAACTATGTTGTAGCATATGCTTTATGCAGGTAACAGCCTACCTACCCAGAGGGGGTAAATGGTGTAAATTACAAAGAGAACCTGTGTCATATGACACTATTCCAAAGCATCTCATTAGTCAGGAAATAAAACTAAGTCATATTTTGTGTATTGAGAAAAGAGCAATTGCTACACAGTAAGACTATAGTCTAGCGATCCTAAATTGAATGCTTTGTTGGTAGTATTTATGTAGGGTTGATTCATATTACTCAATTCATTCACAGAACCAGGGGATGCCATAAAGTATCTCTTAAGTCTTTGGGGTGAAATGTGCTGTAAGTTAAACTAATAAGTGCTTTGAAGAAAAGTGTATCTACCTTTATGAAAATTGTGAAGTGAGCCAGCATGATGTAACATTTAGAGTGCTGGGCTAGGATCAGGCAGACTCACATTCAACTGGGGTAGCAGACTCCACAAAGCATTAGAAATGCCTGCCTCTGGGTCAGCTCCCTCTTGACCTGCCAAGAAGTAGATATTTGGAATGCCTCCATGGATTGATTGAACAGGATGATTTCTCTTCTCTCTAGAGGAGACAAATCTGTAATAACTTGGGCCCAGGCCATATAGGGCTTTTTATTATAATAATGATTAGTATTTTGAATATAAACCCAAAACAAACTCCAGCCAATGCAACTCCTATAAAATTAGTGTAGTATCAATATGCAGTTCTCATATGGACCACCACATGTTGCGTGAGTTGAAGCTTCTGAGTACAACTTTATGACTGCATCTCTTAGTGATGGAAATTCTGAGCTCAGTTGTTGTTGTTGTAAGTTGAAGACTACTTGTATTCTTCAAGAACAGCCATCACAAATTGAGAGCACTGGAACATTTTGATTCTGAAGTATCTCTTGCTGAAGCTTCCCACTTAAAAAAATAATAATGTACAATTGGCACACTAGTAACCATAAGTGTAAGTAGGAGTCCTAAATTATTCCTTCAAGGAGAATACAATGCCATCCAGAGTTAATTTAGGGACTACCAGAGAATCTGCTGACACCACTCTGTGTTATAGTGGTTCGGTTACAGTCTATTTTATCACATCCAGATTCTTTACTGGTGAGGCCACAACATCCACATTTTTTGAATAGTACAAGATGGAAATATATAGCTGGGTATCATCTACATATTGATGATACCTAGCTCCAAACCAATGAATAAGCTCTCAATTAGACTTATATAAATGTTAAATATGGGAAACAGTACTGTGCTTTGTAGCACCCCATAGTGAACTAACAATGGACTCAACCATTCCTTCCCCACTAAAATCACCTAGAGCAAGCCACTTAGGAAAGAGAAGTATTGAAAAACAGTGACCCATAACTCCTTATCCTTGCAGGTTCTCAAGAAAAATACCCTTGTTGATGGTATCCAACACCACTGTGTGGACTGGCTGAGAGGGAGTTGTCATTAACACTGGATAGAAAAATGTCCTCTTTAAGTAGAGGCATACCACCACTGTCTTCTTCACCATTCCTCTAAAAAAGGAATCAATCCTCTCCTGAACCCTCCCACCCAGAGCTGCCTGAAGGAGCCAAATGGGGTAACGATTATAGATGGCCAAGATTGTGCTACAGAAAACTCCATTTAATCAGTTTCTATAGGCAGGAATCATAATTACTCCATTAGATTCTGCCCATGTGAAATCAAGATCTAAACAAATGTGAATGATTTTATTAGTGAAATATTTAGCAAGTGTGTCATAGCAACCTAAAGGAAGGTCTTCCAGCCCACTTTCCCCACAGAGATATAGGTCATTAATAATAGGATGTCATTCTACTGATGCGATAAAGATGTAGAAGTCATAATGTCTTGCCACCATTACTATTGCGGTGGCTTGTGCCTAAGGGTATATGGAAAAAGATGCTCATATACACTGCCTAGAAGTCCTGCAGAAAGAGGACATATTTTAAGAAATAAAATAAATTATATCATAAACCAGTATTATCAAGGCAACTGGGAAATGAGCGGCCAGGTCAGAGACCCAGTCCATGAGGCCTGACCAGGGCCTGTAATATCATTTGCTTCTATGTAGACCACAAAAAATTTATAACTTATAAAAGGATGCCCATTAAGTCAACCATAGTGAGTAGACAAAACTCTGTCACTGAAATCCAAATACTTTGCTTTGCACTACTGAAAACTGGTAAATTGGTTTCCTTTGTGCTTTACCATCATCCCTACAAATGGCCAATAATAATATTGCAATTCCATCTCTAAGATATTAGTTTCAATAAGGTTCCATTAATTCATATATTGTTTCTTTATATGGCCTATATATTGTACTCTGATGCGTCACCTTTGGATGAGTTTGACATTGTAAAATGTGTTGTGGAAAGAATGTTTGTAAGTTTAAAAAATAATCATTCAGGACTTAATTTAATGGACTGTACAGTTTATTTTACATGAGATGAGACAAAGCTTTTCAAGTGCATAATACAAATTTGCTAAAATAGGAAGAAAATACAAAGTTTATGGAAATGTTTGTACATAAAACAATTTTTTATAGCAAATACTTTCAACATTTAAAGGATAGATCTTTAGCTGGGGTAAATCAGTGCAACTCCATTGACATTAACACACAGGAGACATACCTGAACCAACAAAGTTTCCCTTGAATCTTAACAAGCATTTACCTCTTCAGCCACAGTATTTTAATGATACAATTGCATGGGACAAAAAGCCATATAACATTGTTCAAAATGATTAAAGACTCATTGCTATTATTAATACAGAGGGCTTATAGTAGAATTAAGTTTCTATATGTAGTTCGCCAAAAATCAGCAGTAAAGTATTATGAAACTCAAAGCCATTACCGCTGGCAAAAGACATATTTTATTGTAAAAAATTAGAAAGTGTTTAGTAAAAGGGTAGAGAATAAAAATACCAGATAGGCAATGCCATTTTATTTTATTTTGTTATAAAAATCTGCCTTGGAGGAGAGTTGGTGGCTGGCCAAATCTATCCTCCCAAGCTAATATATTTGAAAAACAATTATTTGGGATAATGAAAATGAATATATTATCCAAATTTGTTTATACCTATAGCTTGTGTTAAGTCTAAAACATTTGGAAATACATGTATGAGTAAAACGAACTGCTCTGATATCAGGGATATACTGCAAATTTAGATAATTTAGAGAAAAGCAATGAAAAATAGATTCTCATGAAAATTAGTTTCAGAAATGAATAAAGTTTTTATTTGCCCTATTTCAAAAGCAACGGACACATATTAAGCATGATGATGGCTCCTATGAACACTTAAATGGAAATAATGTTTACTGCCTAGGAGTAGTAAATGTGCATAGGGTTTAGGTTTTGCTAATTGTAATGGGTTATAAATTCATCTTGCTAAGTTTTTGATTGCAACCATTTTCACTTGCTTGTTCAGCAACCAATGTTATTGCTACTACATAGTAATGACTACTACCAAGTACTCAAACATTGAAGATGGTCTCTTTTTTTTCTAGATTTGATTTAATGTTTTCAGTTCAAAAGATCATTGTATAGCATAACAAAGACCTATGTTCCTTTATAAATTCAAAAAAATCTAATATAATTGATTCAAACCACCTTCCATAAACATTTCTTTGAAAGAAAAAAAAAAACAGGTAATAAGCAGAATCATTTGTAAACAGTATCTGTTTGGATCTAAGATCACCAAGCTTGGAGTTTGCTGGTTAAGCATGATGTGTACCAGTTGTAAAAAAAATGCTGAAGTCTACACCTAATACTTTATTATTGTTAAATCTCTAAAAAAAAATGTTCTATTAAAATTCACAAAGTGGATTTTTACCTCACAAGTGCAAATTCTCTAAAGTCTCTAGTTATAATCCCATTCATCTATATTCAGGAAAATATAATAGAACATGTTTCTGCACTGACATGAACAGGACTGAAACAAATCATTTTAAAACATCATAATTGGCATCTGAATTTTAGCAAAAAACCATATTTGACTCTATTATAAGAATATGTCAAGATCAATGCAATCACATATAACGTGCTAATCTATTTTTGTTTTAATCAGGCTTCTTTTTTTAAAAAACACACACACACACAAGTTCACACATCGTATTATATTTTTATATATATAAAAATAAAAAGCATATTTTTAAAACACAAAAAAATGGGCCCCTTGGAACACCTAAGCCAAATAAAACAAATGACATTAAAGCTTAGTGCAGATGTGACAACTTCTAAAAGTTCAGGAGCCACAATTCAGGTTAGAGGTTGAAATATTTTGGTCTGTTTGGGCTAGTATGTCTATTTAATGACCAGAGAACCTTGGAAAGCAACCACTACCATTCCTATTCTTAAATCTCTCCCAAACAAGAAAAATAACCCAAAGAATCACAATGAAATTTGGCCACTTTGCTACCCAATTTTAATGATATGCTAAAATGACCACTTGGCCTCCTTAGCATTTCATGGTGATAAAATTTCATTTCATCCCAATTTCATTTTAAACTGTATTTTATTCAATTCCATTTTAAATTGTTTTTATCAGATTTTAGTAATAATTTGTGTCTGGAACTTTGCACTTTGATATGGCCCAAGGGCTAATCAATAAAGTAAAGTAAAGTGTGAAGGAGACCAAGGTCTGCAGGTTATCTAATCTCGTCTTAGTGTAATATATATAAACTTGATGAGAAATTATTGTGTATTGTCCATCAACAGATTTAGCAAACAAATCATGGTACATGAATAGAGAATGCATTTCAGCACTTGTCTAGCTAGAGGGTTGAAAAGATGCCACCCACCATCCTAAAAAATGAATTAAATACTTTGAGTAGCTAACGTATATATAAACATAATCAGAAAACTTCATTGACTCAGAAACAGAAACCTATAAGATTCCTGCATTGGAAAATATCAAACTAACAAGGATATACTACTCTTCTTTTATAGCTATTATTGCCATGCCTTCAGGAAATGATAGTGGCAAACTGCCAAGACATCTTTGAAGATGTTTCACATCCATTTTGGGTTACAAACGTTTTTTGTTGACATACTTAGATGAAAAGCAAATGAAAGTTACAGAAACTGTAAGCAAGAAAATCCATCTAGCATTGGCAACATTAGATGCCATGTGGTAGTGCCACCTCCTGGTACAATATATATAGTGTGCAAGACTACACTTAATAGCAAATGCCCATCAAGTTGCTAAGAATGATTTGAGAGCGTTGTGCAAGTTATCCATGATTTGTTTCAAATGGTCAGTTCAATCTGAATCATCAATTCAATTTAACTTTGCACAAAAGCCCATGGAACTCTAGAACTGATCTCAAAGCAACTGAAACTGAACTGAATCCTACAATTCAAAGAATGATTAAATCCAATTCCCAACTAAGCTTCACATAGCTCTTCTTGTCTTTTCCTGTGAATGCTATGTCTCTGAAGTTTAAAATTTATTTTGATAAATGCTAGGGCCAAAAAATCATGTCTGCATCTTTGGGCTTATTTCAATATATTTAGCTATTTTTCCAGCTGCTTTCAGCAGAAATAACACCCATAATAATTCTTTGCTATGCTTTGGCAAAACATTAGCAAAGTAAAGAATATCTTACTGGTGGACAGAAAAAAAATTCAAGGTATTGGACTGCATAAAATTTATTTATTTACACTATTCACATATCCTTATCCACATTATCTACACAAGCACTGGTATTAACGTTCATAACTATACTCCTAAATTATCCCAGTAAATACTTCTTCTCTTCTGGTGGCTCTGGAAACTATGCTTCTGAACAGGAAGTTAAAAATCTCTAATGAAATGTTGTCACCAAACTATTAACTCCAAGGTTCTTTGAAAGAAGCTACAGCTTTTCAATGGATAAATCTTGTAAATATACATGGTGTATAGAAATTTCCATCAAAATACTTGAAGTGCAAGCTTTTAATCCCATTTTTTATATGGGAAAATTGTCTTTAACTAAATGTTCGTCCTGCTGTCAGAAGAAAAGCACAACAGCATTCCAGATGATCCCATTTCATCTGTCTATTTAGAGGCATATGATGCAATGTTTAAGTAACTTTTAAAAATACTTCAAGTAGCTTTCTTAGCCAGGGACACTATAATACTGATTGAAAATTGAAAGATTGGGTTCAAATCAATGTTTCAGTGGAGACACCAAATTCCTTTAGGCATTGAAAAAAACCAACTCTACCTGCCATTGGAATTACAATCTAAAAAGTCTTAGGAGGGTGTTTCAAATGTTAATTTTCCACTGTGGCCATCAGTGACTTGCTTTGTACAACATCCTCCATATTTGAGTGGTAACAAATCAGAGGCATCACAACACATGCAAATATATTGTTGATTCTTTGCGTACATGACCATTAATATATTAATTATCTAAACATCTATTTTCTAAATTTCAAATGTTTGCAAATAAATCTATGAGGGGGAAAAAGGATCAGAAGGTATCCTAATATTGGTTTCTCTCAAAAATAACTTTAGAACAATTGTTATAATCTTGAATGTGAGAGTGGCTATTTCTGAATATGAAGAGGAAAATCTGAACAAAACAGGGCAAGTAATACAGGTTTGTCATTCCAATTCCTGCAAAAAGAGCAAATACTGTACAGAAAAAAGCTAATTCAACTACTTACTGATTGACACATATCTCCCATTTATTTACTAAACATTTTCTTTTAATCAATTTGATATTTAAATAGCTCAATCCAAACTCCTTCATGAGTTAATTGCTTGGGATATTTTTCTCTTGTGTTATCCACAGAATGACTTTTTTTTTTTTTAAAAAAATTCATCTGGCTATTCTGAGACATTGGTCTTATCTGTCACTTTCCTTTCTTTCAATTTTCTTGAAAGATGGAAACTTAAAGCTGTTTTTATGATGGCCTTTCTCTGCCACTTTCACAGCCAACCCTGGGTTAGTAACAGAATGGAGACTCACCATGCCAGCAGAAAGCAACTGTGATGGTAGTTGACTACAGTCAGTGCCCATCAAAGTCTAGAAGAAACTTGCATTTTCTTTGACGGCAGGCAGTAGTTGGCTTTACTTGCCATTCCTCCATAGGCCTGGGCTAAACAGAGCAGAAATGTTTGTTGTGTGCAGAAAAACCTGATAGAAGAAAATGCCCCTTGATAAGATTTAAGAATCTTAATAAGAATCTTCATCCCTGCTGCAGGGGATGAGGGGAAAGAGAGAGGTGTGCATAGAATTTGAACTTTTTTATACTTTTATTAGCCTGGGAGGACAGTGCCTTAAAAGCATAAGAAAGAAAGGTTCTGGGTGCCTCCAAAGGTGTGCATCTTACAGCTGGAATTTCAGCATGCTGTGTCATTAATTTAACAACAACACTGTTACTTTTTCCTTTCTTATGAGCCGTAGATATTGCTCTCTTAAAGATGAGTTCAATTCCGATACAGGAGAATGTAATTCTGAAGAGCAGGTAGGGTTGCACTAAGAAAAGGTAAACCTATTTGCTTAGGCTTTCTACCTGTATTAAAACAGAAATAATTTAAAGAAACTTATAAATAGAGAAACCATACCTATTTTTGACCTTCCTTCACTGAATTCAGAATTGGAAATTCAATGTTAAGTCTGCTCAGTCCCATTCACAAGAGAGACGCAATATTAAAGTAAGAAAAGCAGAGGTGTATTGTTATATTATGAAGCTCACAAGAGAACAGAACCGAGATTACATTGCAGAGGATTTGCTGTGGTCAGTAGATTTGAAGAACCAAACTAACTGTGTGCTCCAGATCTGATCTGTGACAAATCACACTGACAAGCATTGTGAACAAGCTAGATACTAACTAGTCAGCAAAATAACATAATAAGGATCAGCTACTCATTGTGGGCAGATAATACAGGATGAAAATCCAAACAGAACCCAAAATACTACTTTCTATTCAGATGCTACAAAATCTGTAAAGAACATTGTCATATATGAGGTGGTTTCTCAATTCTCTGAATGCCAATCCTTATATAAAATGCCACCATCTATTTTCATGAAAGGAGCACCAATAGAGTCACGGGAGCCTCAAAGTTTGTAAAAGTTTGCAAAGATATTTATAGCAAAACTTTGGGAAGGAACCCTCCAAATAGTTTAGTGAGAACAGACTATGTCCAGTGAACATGTAATCATGATTGGAGAGGTAAAAGAGTGGCAGAGTCACAATATTAAATAAGAAGTCCTTCATACTACAACATTACATTGTTGATCTATGCTTGCATTCATCTCTAAAGTGACATGGAACCAAAAATATGCCAAATATTGCACTTCTATTTCAGTAATCCAAAGTGCTTCCTTTGGGAAAAAAAATGCAATTCTCTCTTAATATTTTTCTCTCTAAAATACTTGGTTAGAAAGACAATTTCACAAAGCATTACTATCTTTTGAATCCTGAAAGGAAAATAAATCAAATCTTGAGCATTGGGAGTGTTTTAAGGAATGGGAGCTATGTAATTAAGAGAGATTAAGCAGCTAGAAACCACATTAAACAAAATCAAGTTGTAAATGTCTGGCTAATCTGATGAACATCCAAGCTAAATATGAACGGATATAAACATTCCGTGAAGCGAAAGGCACAAAGTACACTTGCAAATCATCCCACAATTGTAAGTCATACCAAAATGTCATGTAATAGGAATGCAGTGAGTAAGATTTGCAAAGGAAAAAAACAACCCAGTGGCAAATGCATTGCAATATAAAAGGGTAATAACAGGCACATTTAAAAGGCAGTGAGGTGTTGAACTTCAAAAACAGAAAAAGAGTCTCACAGGTCTGACATGCTAATCCTCTTCTCCCTCTGTGTCCCTAATATATGGGCTTTCTCATTCTACCTTTTGGACTCAAGGAAATCTAGATGTAGACATATCACCAGTCCAAAACACAAATCAGAATGCAACTGAGCAGTGGAATGTTCCAAAGAGTAAAGCTTAAGAGAAAATATGCAGGTTTCACCCACAACTGCTTTCCATGGTGAAAGAAAACTTCAACAAGAACATTCAAGTGAGTTATATCTTGTCCTACAAAAAAGGAATGGAAAAAGAATACTAAAAGTAGCACCGGTGATTTGAGTCTGATGGGCCAAATAAATTTGAAAGCTCAATGGTTCTGAAGAAAGCTGGCTAAAAGACTTCTACCAAGCCAAAACAAAGGGATTGGTGGTTACTTTCCTTCAAATAACTACAGGTAGTCCTCGATTTGCAACAGTTCATTTAGTGACCAATCAAAGTTACAATGGCACTGAAAAAAGTGACTTATGACCATTTTTCATTCTTACAACAGTTGTAGCATCCCTATGTGTGTATGATCAAAATTCAGATGTTTGGCAACTGGTTCATATTTATAGTGGCTGCTGTATTCTGAGGTCATGTGATCCCCTTTTGTGACCTTCTGACAAGCAAAGACAATGGGGAAGATTTACTTAACAACCATGTTACTAACCTAACAGCTGCCGTGATACACTTAACAAATGTGGCAAGAAAGGTCATAACATGGGTCAAAAACTCACTTAACAAATGTCTCGCTTAGCAGGGGAAATTTTCAGCTCACTTGTGGTCAGAGGTGGAGGATCACCTGTAAGGGATCCCAAATAACAGATGTTTTAAGTAGATCTTCAAGTTCTTTCCTATCTCGCTATCACCCCATGGTTATATTAATCATGGCCATACAGGAATGACTGCATGATTGCCATAAATTGCATGGAATGCTATCATGAGACTGAGAGCATCTGAGCTTTGTATGACACGTTGAAGGCTGCTGAACTCGAAAAGTACCAAAACCATGGTGGCCTGAGGAGTTTTAAGTGGTGAAATTAGCATCTTAAGCAATTGCAAGGCTTACATCCCTCATGTTGGCCCTTATTAGCTCAAATTCCCCAAAGACATAGAAATGGTTCCAATCTTTTCACCCAAACCCTGGGGAGCACAAAAATGAGTCTGGTGAACAATGTGTATTTTCATCCTTCATATAAAATAATAATGTTTAAAAGACACATAGAACTTGAAAGGAAACATAGATTAAGCTACAGTCAGGGAAATAGACTGTAGTATTTGAAATAATTACAGCCAGAGACCTACGAATCTATTTACAAGCTTCTCAGGGGCGGGTTTCAAAACCTGTCGCTACCGGTTCGCTCGTGGGCGCGTGCGTACTTGCGCATGAAGCGCATGCGCAGAAGCGTCCGGATGGGCGGGCAGAGCCTCCCACCGCTACCAGTTTGCCTGATCCGGTGCGAACCGGTAGCAACCCACCACTGAAGTTTCTGTAAAATCTTGGGGATTTTTCTGCAATCAAATTACATTTTGCCATCAGCAATCACTGGAGCTTTCAGTGAAAGAAGAAAATAGAAAAGCAAAGTAATGGGTAAGATAATCATGAAAGATATAGAAAAAAAAAAAGACGATTGTTAGTTATAGAAACTAACAGCAAATATATGAAAACCAAAGGATCCAGGCAGTGTTTTAAATTTACAATTAAGGTGCTTTGACTATTTTTTTATCTAGAAAAATAAGACGGATATTTTAAATTCAATCAGATTTAAACTGGAATCTTAAAATACAATTTGGAAAGAGCAATTTTCGTAATATGCCACGAGCAATTTGCTTGATGATCGTGAAGAAAGTTACAGTGGAATGTACAAAGAATTGCAGTCCATTTTATCAAAAGAACATATAGTTAAACAGTATCAAGTATGGAAAACAGAAAAAGCCCAGAAATCAATGGGCAGCAATTGAGAGAAGTTCTGAAAACAGTTAGAGAAAGGTTGCAAGGAATACTGAAATATCACAAGCTTCAAAACAGGAAAGGTATTGAATAGATGCCTTAGAAATTATTTTTATATTGTTTTTGATCCAGACCTTAATGTACTCACACATACCAGCAGGATAAATTGTACTTTTTGCAAATCTTGACAGTCAGCTTCTTGGGAAAAGACAAAATATATATTTTTATTATAAACCTGTGATGCCCTTGGAGATGAAAAAAGAGGATTTTGTTGATAATAGAAAACAAGCCGAAGGGAAAGGGAAAGGGAAAGGGAAGAGAATCAATCAAATGAGGGCACATTTGAGTGGTAATTAACTGGAATAGTTTGTGTGCCAGTTTTCTTCATACTGTATTTAATAATGTAAGCAGCAAATAATCCAGCAAAAACAATGCCATCTCTTTTCCCAAATTTCTTCCTATATGTTTTTAAATTTAAGAAGCTCAGGTTATCTATATTACACTTCTGTAGTTAAAGTTAAAATCGTTACTTTGAAAATAGAAAGGACAAGAGTTATAGTGCTGATGGAAAGTCTGGTCAAAAAACTGACAAATGCATTCCAGGAAAAAAAAAAGATTTAAGAAATAAAGAAATGAATAGTAGATGTTTGTGACACATGTTCAAACAAAATACTTGGCAGTACAAAAAAAATTAAAGCTCTGAAGCAAATATTTGTCCTGTACAAACACCATTGCAAGACAAATGAAAAAAGGAGGGGAACAAAGAACATGGTGGTTTTTCCCCAACAGTTTCTGAAATACAGGAGCTCAGGATCAATTGATAAGGCCTTGTAGTACCATCATAAATAGCTGCACTTCTGAAAATATGTAGCTGTATAATGCATCTTTGGCTGGATTCATATAGTCACTTCTTAACTCACTTGTGCTGATTTTTGACCATCTGATAGTTTTATAATTAGACTTAATATGGCCTGAACTCTGTTATAAAATAAAACACTTTTTTTAAAAAAATAGCTGCCAGAGTGTGGGAACTCAAGAGCCAAAGGCTTGCAAAAACTTCCCCCGTACCCAAGTTCCACTTGAATTTTGCTGTGTCATCAATGCAGGGATCTCTGTGACATGAGCACAAAATTGGAAATCAGGGAAGACATATTGGCAGAGGCAAGATCCTACCCTCTAAATAACCTAACACTCATGTAGGTTATTTTGCAGTTTTGAGATACACTTTGAATTTGGTTTCTTGCACTCTTCCAAAGGCTCTTGAAGCACACATGACAAGAGGCAACTGTCTGTGTCTTGAAAGTGCTATTCTTCTATTGGTGTGTGTGTGTGTGTGTGTGTCAATGGTTCCAATTCTCTGATCGTTTCTGCAGATCCTGGAGAAGTCAAAAAAATCACAAGTAGCTTGAGGACTGCAGCCAGTTAAGTACCTGAGACAGTATAAAAGGGGGCCAACCCAAGCATTTTTCTTTGGGTACATTGTCTCCTGACCCACAGCCTCCTTTTCTTTACTCAAAAAAGCCTTTTCAATAGCCTTGCAATAGTATTTGCAGTTATAGGAGACAATGGTTGTTAAAACATAACACTCTACACAGATATTATCCTCACAACATCCCTGTGAGGTAGGTAAGCATTATGAATTCCATTTCATAAAGTGTAGGTGGGAGAGGAGGTGGGAGGGGGCTTTAAAACCACCTCCCCACTCCCACCTAATTTAGTGGGAACATTCAGGAGGATCTCCCTGCTTCCAGAATCACATTCAAACTCATCCGTCCATAGGTTTGGCACAGCCTTATTTGTGTCTTAACATTACAGTACAAAACAGAGCATCATGCAAGGGGAGCAGCACAAAATAGATAACCACAGAATAGCAAGATTCTTTTTGTACCAGCAAACAGACCCATGGATCCTGGGAGCTGCACGTGCTTGGCTACTAGGAGCCAGTTTCAAAAAGAAGGAAAAAGAGCAGCTTCTCAACCCTGGAATGTTGGATGTTTAAGGCATAGCAATATAAGAATGGAATAATGATCAAACATGACAGAAATAGTCCCTACAGACAATAATAAATAGATACGGAAGCTGACAGTGGAACATCTCTCCTGTTCCTCCTCTTGAAGCTGTATGGAAATCCCTCGAGCTGGGTGGACTCAAAAGCCCACCTGGTCACGGAAGTCTATATCTCCATATCCACAGGTCTGATGTTACCGGTTTTGTGTTCTTTTACCCACAGTTCTCTGTCTTTGGCTGGATCCACTTTCTGAAGCAACTGATCCACAGGTTCCACTGTCTGAAAAACACAAGAGCCACATGCCATTGTTTCCCAATATCTACAAATAAATGCCTGGTAGACAGTTAGAGTATAGTACACATGATGAGACCATTTATTTTTCTTCTTCAACATGCAGGTCTGCTCTTTTAGGTTTAACTTTATGGAATTAGGCATTATAAATGCCCACTTCCAATGTGGGTCTTGAATCCCGATCTTATACTGTCAAGAATCTCATTTCAAGGGCTCCATAAACAATAAGTAAACAGTACTTATTGAGAGAGCCGAGTTTTTATGCAGTCATATACATTAGCAGACAGAGGATTCTATCAGATTTCTATAAAGCTTGCAGAAGTACAGCATGAGAAAGGATTCCAAGATAAGTAGACTCACACTTTGGTTGAACATGTCTGTCTCGTGTCGCAACTGTGTATATTGGCAAAGGTGCTGCCGAATCATTTCCACCCTCTCGACTTCTAGCCTCTCAAGTTCCTGAAATGAAAGAATGAAATATGTTCATTAATGGATAAGGAATTAAGCCCCACCACTGTGAATCAAATATAAAGCAAATTATTATTCACTTTAGTCTGTTTTGGTACTTTGTAATTGCTCCTTAAAGCAAAGGTGGGCATTATCTAAAGCAAGATAATGGACAATTTTTATGGCCTTTGAGAGCCCCCAAAATCACGCTATCTTGATTTAGCTAGGTGTGATTGTTCATTAAAAGCCTAGGTGTATTGCTCATTAAAAAGTAAAATAAAAACAGAAATAGAACATCAAATTCTTTGATAGGTTTAATCCCTTAAAATATATTATTTTATTGAACTCTAACTTTCAGCAATACAAGCAAAACAAATCAAAATTTCTCACTATGCTACACTATTGTGACTCCCCTTGAAAATTTTTCCTTTCCTTTCCTTTCCTTTCCTTTCCTTTCCTTTCCTTTCCTTTCCTTTCTTTTCCTTTTTCCTCTCCTTTCCCTTTCTCCACATTTCAAATATAATCCATAGTTCTGATATGAGTGGACAAATAAATATTTTCTCAAAAATTGTAAAATTGAAGATAGGCATATATGTGCTAAATAAGCCAATAGTGTGAAAAAAATGCAACTTAATTTTTTTATGTGTTTATGTTTGTGCTTTCAAGTCAGCTTTTTGATTCCCTGTGACTGTCTAGACTAGTCTCTGCAGTTTTCTTGGCAAGGTTTTTTGGAAGTTCATCATTGATTTATTCCTAGGGCTCAGAGTGACTGGCTCAAGGTCACCCAACTGGATTTGTACCTCAGGCGGGACTAGAACTCCCAGTCTCTAGTGTGGTGGCTTAACCACTACAGGCAAAACTGGCTCTTACCTCTTTTACCATGTATTTATTTAACATGGTATCCCACTGGCTATCAAGATGTCTCAGCATTTTATAATATGAAACAATTTTAAAATGAAGACATTAAAAACAGTTAAAATGGCAATTAAAACAAGCTAGTTGAAAATGTTCATCATTGCATTTAGAACAAAAGAATATATTTTTAAAGGCATTTAAAAAAAAAGTTAATTAAAGGTGCCAGGCCCCTCAACATTGCAGGCCATGCATTCCAAAGAGCTGAGTTAGTAACCAAAAAGGCTTAATCTTGACTCAACACCAGACAGGCTCACAGCAACTGTTGACAAACCTCCTCAAGTGATCTCTTAAAGCATGGAGGTTCATATAGGAAGAGGCATTGCTTCAAGTGGGGGATCTACATAGTGACATGACATGGAGCAGTTTCTAGACAGAAGGGCTAGGAAATGTAAAGGGTAAATGTGGGGATTTCTAAACATGTGATGAGACTGCTGGTTCCAAAGGTAGCCCCATTATTTATTTATTTTTTTAAAAAGATAATTTCAGTCTAAGGAAGGGGGAATATACAACCAAGTTTGAGCAAAAATTCAAGTACAGGGATTCCAGAATTGGAAACACTGTTTAATATATAAAATGGGCTAGTATGTGTTATTACACTCAAGGTGGGAAAAAAACATTTTTGAAATATGCACTGTAGGACAAAGCTAAAATTTAACTTACCAGAGAGGTGGTTACCATTTCTTCAAACCATTTTGACTGAGCTTGGTTATACAAATCCACGCAACGCATGAGATCATCTCCTAGAAAACAAATTCCCCAAACCATCACGTGAGTTCTTCTTGCAATTCATTCATCTACCCAAAGGGGTGCTTTACTATTAATATCAATGCCATTATGATTTCACTTTTTGATCTTTCCTGGGATTGTATTGCAGCTATGCAGGGCAACTGTGCAATTTTACTGAAAGATAATGCTGCTTTAAGGAAATGCTATGTGACAAGACAGGTATTACATAATTGCCTTCTTGCATAGCAAAACACTTTTCTGCCTTTCAGTATGAAGCACTGCACTACACAGCCCTAGTAGTTAATTCAAATTAATTAAGAAAAAAGCAAAAACTAATCTCTTGATCCTTATTAGAAGTGAGAAAGTCATTAAGAAACATATTGCAAATTCAGCTTGTTGGTCGGCATGTCTCATTAACTTCATATTAAGAATGTTTAAGAGAAGATGAAGAAACAAACTTCAGTGCTATTACTGCCTACTCTTTTTCCCCTTTAAGGAAATCTCCCTAGGATTCCCTGACCAAAGAATAATGAAAAATAATATTTGACTACAAATGAAAAATTATTGTTTCCTTCCTTTGGAGATTCCAATTTATAAATTGCATTCTTAGGTTTAGATACTAGTGATCAAATTATACTTATCAAAGAATCCTGAACAGAGTTGATACAGCTTCCACATGGAAGTTGTAAGATGAAATCCTTCTGTGATTTGATTGTATACTGCCTATTTATGTGTAGTGGATTTGAATTTGAAATAATGAAACAGCCACTCAGTACTTTAAAATACTGTTTCTTGGGCAGAAACAGAAGCCTTCACATTTCTTTTGAAATTTCTTTCCACTCTACCTTGGAGAATTGCACATAAATAGTAAGGATGTGTTCAGATTTGCAGAAAGATGTCCGGTTTAAATTTGAACCTCAGCCATGTACAGCCTGTGTCAACTTCTGTTCACTTCAGGATTCAATGAAACATACGATTTGACCAGCAGTAAATAAACTTTGCATGCAGCTGTAAACAGAGGCACATGTCAGAAAACTAAATGGGAGGATAATTTAACCAAAAGTAGATGAATCTTCACACGTTTGCCTATTGGCAGTTTTGCTGACTGAAACAAACACACTTTTCAGTGGCTTTTGTATGCTTGTTTCTTTCAAACCCAGTAATTCAATAAATCTCAAATTCTGAATTGAGATAGAACAGTAGGATCTATATTAATTGTATACAATAATACATATTATTGTATTGTATTATTGTGCCCTCTGTGGGGGCACTCGCCCTCTGGAATGAATTGCCCCGGAGATACGGATGATCCCTGACCTACGCACCTTTCGCCGTGCCCTCAAGATGTTATTGTTCCAACAAGCTGGGCTGGCCTAAACATTAATTTTAATGGGTTGCTTTTGGTTTTTTAATGATGTCGGGGCCAAATTATTTAATGTTTTTAAATTGCATTTAAATTTTATATATGTGTTTGTTTTATCTTTGGCTGTGCACCGCCCTGAGTCCTTCGGGAGAAGGGTGGTATAAAAATTAGATTAAATAAAATAAATAAAATAATAAATATATTTTATTGTAAAGCTGACTTAGGTGATAGTTTGACTCTCTCTCCTGCCATCTACTGTACAATGTGAACAGTAAATTTTTTTTACAAAAGCAAAGATAAGTAATTTCAAACTGAAAAAATATAAAGGTTAGCTCAATTCTGTTTGTCATATACAGTTCAGATAAATACATAAAAAAGAGAAATACTTTAAATCAATTTATCTCTATAGTACCCTGTTTCCCCTAAAACAAGACATCCCCTGATAATAAGCCCAATTGGGCTTTTGAGCGCATGCGCTAAAATAAGCCTCCCCCTGAAGTTAAGCCCTCCCCGAAAATATTTAAACGCATGCGTAGCCGGTCCCCTCCATTTCCTCTGGTTAGGGTTAGGGAGACAGATCTGGAAATCAGGTAAGACAGCAAGAGGAGCCCCGTCTTGCTCCATGCGCCCCAAAATAATAAGACATGAATATTTCAGGGTTCAAAAAAATATAAGACAGGGTCTTATTTTCAGGGAAACACGGTACCAAAATGTTCACATGATTCAATTAATTTAAGAAATATTGATACAATGATGACATAGATGCCTTCCCTTCTGCAGCTTATGCTGTCCAAGTATGTTGGAGACTCTCAAATCCATTTGATAGGGCCAAGGAGGCCTTCCTGGCTGGAGGTATAAGAGATGGTCCAACCCAGCTGAAGATTGTGCTGGACTCATGTCCTCTAATACTGGCTACTTTTCCTTAATTTCCTTAAGGTAAAGGTTCCCCTCGCACATATGTGCTAGTCGTTCCTGACTCTAGGGGGCGGTGCTCATCTCCGTTTCAAAGCCGAAGAGCCAGCACTGTCCGAAGACGTCTCTGTGGTCATGTGGCCGGCATAATTAAACGCCAAAGGCACACAGAACGCTGTTACCTTCCCACCTATTTTTCTACTTTCATTTTTATGTACTTTCGAACTGCTAAGTTGGCAGAAGCTGGGACAAGTAACGGGAGCTCACCCCATTACGCGGCACTAGGGATTCGAACCTTTCGATCGACAAGCTCAGCGTCTTAGCCACTGAACCACCGCGTCCCTTTTAATTTAATTTCCTTACATGCATCTTAAAAGTGAAAGTATGGGATAATCTTTATTACAAAGGAACTAAACCCTGGAAACAGGATCAATAGGGCCAGAAAATTCAAACTGGCTTTTCATATATGGTTTATCAGAGAAAATATAGATAAAAACTTAAAGAATGCAGTTTCGATCAATGCCAAAATTTAATGAATCATGCTCTTCTTCCTAGCTAAATCAATAGAAGGTTTTTTTATACCCCATTTCCCTTTGACATTCAAATTTCCTTGTTTCTGTGTCTTTGTACCGTACAGTGTCCTCATTCTACATACACTCACCAGCTTGAGTAGACTTCCGCCTGGCCTTTTTAATTTCCTCTTCTGTCTTGTTGCTCAGTTTTATCTCCAACTGCTGTGTTTTCATCTCTAAATCCTTTTGCCTCTCTGTTAATGCTTTTCGAGCCTTGAAATAAACCAAGAGTCATAAATTTCTTCACAGAAAGAAATATCTATCTGCCTTTTCCTTTCCATAAGATTTATTCTTCTACAGGCTAAATCACTGCAAAAACAGAGTACGTGCTATGACTTTTGTAGCTAGAACATCAAGGAAATGAACAGGTGCGCTATCTCCTGGATGAGACCTTGAGCACCAAACTATTAGGAACCAAAGTACCACCAGTGTCTGAAAAAAGGTGGTATCAAGGTGACACTATTGAGGGCCTAGTGGCACAGTGGTTAAGTGCAGTATTGCAGGCAAAAATCTGCCCACAGCCTGAAGTTCGATCCTGACGGGGCTCAAGGTTGATTCAGCATTCCATCCTTCTGAAGTCAGTAAAGTGAGGACCCAGATTGTTGGGGGCAATATGAAAATAATGCTGACATTGCAGCCCAGAGAATGCTGTAAAGCACAGTGGGTGGTATTTAAGTCTAAATGCTATTGTTCTTTGGAATCCTATTTTATTTAGTCACTTTAAAACATTGCTGAATAGATTATATTGTATTTCCACAAGTTGGTTCTTTTCAGGACCTTTTGCCAGCAGAAGCAAAGGATAAAATTATTGACCTACTCATTTCACTTATCAAAGTTGCCCAAACATAGTAATTAAACATATTCAGCATTGTTTATAGGACACTAAGACAGCATCTTCTGTTATACGTTAGAACATAGGACATAAAATATAGACCAGAGAACATGGCATAAATAATTTTGCCCTCCTTTCTCTATCCTGGCACTTTCTTTTCTTCCCAGGGTGACTGTCACTCCACTAGTATGGCCAACCAGACCACTTGGAGTGGTGGCTTACAGCTTGAAGAACCATATTTTTCTTACAGTCAAATTACATACATACTATTTTTTCAAATATCTGCCTGCCTGCCTGCCTGCCTGCCTGCCTGCCTGCCTGCCTGCCTGCCTGCCTATCTATCTATCTATCTATCTATCTATCTATCTATCTATCTATCTATCCTATCTATCTATCTATCTATCTATCTATCTATCTATCTATCTATCTAATCTATCTATCTATCTATCTATCTATCTATCTATCTATCTATCTATCTATCTATCTATCTCTTTGTCATCTCTCTCTATCATCTCTCTCTCTGTCATCCATCCATATCTATCTATCTATCTATCTATCTATCTATCTATCTATCTATCTATCTATCGTGGTGGTGCAGTGGTTAGAGTGCAGTACTGCAGGCTACTTCTGCTGACTGCCAGCTGCCTGCAATTTGGCAGATCAAATCTCACCAGGTTCAAAGTTGACTCAGCCTTCCATCCTTCAGAGGTTGGTAAAATGAGGACTGATTGTTGGGGGCAATATGCTGACTCTGTAAACCGCTTAGAGAGGGCTGTAAAAGCACTGTGAAGCGGTATATAAGTCTAAGTGCTTTTGCTATTGCTATCTATCTACCTATCTATCTATCTATCTATCTATCTATCTATCTATCTATCTATGCACAAGGATTTCTATGACAAGCTTTTGAGCATGCACACCAGTTTTGTCTTATTTATGAGACATTCTTACCTTTTCCACTGCTGCATACCTACTAACCAGCTGTTTTCGCAAATCAGCAATATGATGGTCATACTTTTTCATATCTTTCTTGAAGTTTTCACGGAAGTTGAGTAGTGGTTTCTCCACTTCTGCCTGGAGCTGGCATAAAGAAAAAAAGAAAAAAAAATGGTTTAAGAGGTTTTAGATGTTAAGAACTGGGGCGGGGATGGGGGAGAAATACTTTGATTTAGTGTAGGAGAAATGGGGATAATTCTTTCTTCCTTTTTGAACTTTAGAGCCAATTAGTTTCTACACATTGTGGGGTAACAATAACCAATCTTGGCTAAAAGCTAATATAAATGAGTCAGATTGGTTTATAGTTAAAAAAAAACAAACTAGGAAATACTGGTAATATGAACTAAACAAGAGAGTAAAAGAAAAGTCCAACCTATTTCTATCCTCCTGTCAAGAAAACTATATGGACAGGTGCCTGAAGTTATTAGGACTTGAAGTTAACCTGAAAAGAAAAAAGCTATCCCTTTTGAATGGGAGGAAGAACTGGAAAGTGCTGTAGAAAGTTCTGAAAAGAAGAAAAAAGCTAAGTGATATAATCATGGATTTCATATCTGTTTTGATCCTCACATGTCTGTGTGAAGCAAACACTTCAAAGCAAAGAGAGGAAGAACATAATCCTGAAGATTTCAAAGCAGTTGCCACTTCTACAATGAGATATATATGAATTATTTTTTTCTCTCTCTCTATGTTGAACAGATGGGGGAAGGGATAGCAAATTCTGAAACAAAATATGAGCCCTTAGGATACAATCAATTTGAGTCCTGCCACTTAGAATAGCCTATTCTAAAATTTCAGCATTTCAGAGAGGAATCAGTTATTTTCTAACTGTAAATCAGAATCCAAATTGAATCAGTACATGGTTATTTAGGCCTTTGTCCAAATATCATCAAATTATAAAATATTGAGATTGCAATCTTGTATGCGATTGTGAAAACAAGAGAGATTACTTACCTAATAAATGGCCATTTCTTACTACTATTACCACTACTATTAATATCTTGATGAGCACTAGGATATAATTTTTTGGGGGGAGGGGGACTGAAGAAATGATATTGTCCAATCCAGGGGTGTCAAACTCGCAGTGTCACGTTGTCATCATGTGATGTATCGTGACTTTTCCCCCCTTCGCTAAACCGGGGGTAGGCATGGCCAAAGCATGATGCATCTGGCCTGCAGGCGACAAGTTTGACACCCCTAGTCCAATCACTGATAAACATTAGCACATACTTAAATTTATTCTATCACAACCCATAATTTTGAGAATGAAATTTTGTCAGGATCAGGAATGAACAATGCAATCTCAGGCCCATAAAAACATGATTACATTTAATAACTTAGAGGAAATGATTTGATACCTTAGAGGAAAATTTAAGATGAACCTCTGCTTCATCAGCCATGCTTTTTTTTAGCTGAGACCAAGATTCGCCAAGTGTCCTGCAATGCATAAGTCTGGTTAATAAGAAATGACTTCTTCATTAGGATCTGAAACTCATCATTACTACAGCTAGTGGGATTAGCTATTAGCCAAAGCACAATGTTTAACATTATTCTCAATAATTCTCTCTCTAAATGTATACTCCTATTTCAATTCAGCGAAGCATAATCATGAATATCTTTAGAAAAATCTCATCCGAATCTCAGTAATAATAATGAAACTCACAATATAAGGCTTAAAACTAACGCTTATTTCAAATAAACCATCAACTTTTATGAGTTCTTAGTTTTAGATTCAGAAGATGAAACTAATGAAACAGGAGTTTTTGGTGAATAAAATTATACTTTTGGAAAACCAAAAGTTAAATCTAAATTTAAACATGTCATATGAACTGGCTATAAAACGTGAATTAACTCCAGAGAATTTTTCTATAAAACTCCCTTAAACTTAAGCTTGAAGATTGCTTAGAGCAGGGGTGTCAAACTTGATTTCATTGAGGGCTGCATCAGAGTTGTATTTGATCTCGGGGGAGGGGGGACAAGTGGGCATGGATGTGGTGGGAGTGGCCAGCTCAACATAACTCGTGTCAGGGGTGCCTGTGGTGGCCCAAGTGCTCTGCTAGCAAAACCAGGCTCCCAAGCTCCATTTTCATTGGCAGAAGCAGTGTGGGCCAGTCCTTCGCTGTTTCCAGGGTAGCCCCTCAAGCCAGATCTAAGCACCCCACTGACAGATTTGGCCATAGGCCTTGAGTTTGACACCCCTGGCTTAGAGGGATGGACCTTACTGATTTAACTAATGAGGGTATTTTGATTCTTTTGGCAAAATCATTTACAATGTAAAATGATTGGAAATAAATGATAAAAACACAGGTTTTAATCTGTTCTGATGACTGAAAAGAAACTAGATTTGTCAACATTAAATTTGTTAAATGAATTTTTATGCATTCTAAGCATAAGAGCCCATAATCTTATGACAGTTGATGTAATATAATTCAGTAGCTAACAGTGGAAATTACAAATCTATGGAATCAAACTTTACCTGTCATATTTACATATTATAACATATCAAGCCAAGAGTTTAGCATATGTGGAATGTACACGATAAATTTACCAAACTATCTATATTTTGAGCACTTTTTACACATACAGCAGATGGAAAATTTAGGAGAAATATTTCTATAGTCACTTAGAATACTTCAGTAGAATATTTTTATTACAACATGTTGAGCAGGCCATGTTCTGGACCCACAAAACAACAATAACAGCAAGCAGATCTAGATTAGTTTAGAACCTGAATGGGAAATCATATGGGGAATCAACGTAACATCTTCAGCAACATCATGAAAAGAAAGATAGGATGTAAGTGACAAATGCATTTCATCTGGCTTTCTTCCCCTAAAACGTCTAAACAAGAGCTAAGGATAATCTACTCACTCTGAAACGTAAAGTGCCTTAATAATATATAAACTGTATATTATAGTACACGAGTATGTGAAATTATTCAAACAAATTATATTCACAAATATTTGGGGGAGGTATATTGCTATTCCATATATGACTGTTCTAAAGGGTTTGAAAAATATTCTGTTCTTTCTGTATGGATGACATTTTATAGACTTGTTGTTATAGTGAATGCTTTTATTTTAAAAATTAACTAGAAAGTCCCAATGCTTTGACATTACTATATAAAGAGTCACCTTGGGTCAGCTAGGTATCTTATTTCAATTGCAGCAAATATGACAACTTTGGACATCATTTTAAAAAACCCAACCAGTTTGATTAGTTCAATATCTTCGCCAATTCAATTCTTCCTTTATCTGCTATAATATATACAATAGCTTACATATCATAGTCATATATAGAAGAAGAATTAAATAAGATGGCTCAATAGTTTAATATTCTTCTTGTAGAAGAAGATGAATCTCCTAATAATGCAATCAATTTTAGAGCATACTGTAATCTGGCAGGTAATTAGAATACAAAAATGCAAATTTACCCTTCTTCCTGGGCAGCCAGGGAGTTCTGTGATAGTTTAGATAGGTTCTTGGCATATTCTTCTTCAATTTTTATTCTGGAAAAAAAAAGACCCACCAGTGACATCAGCCAAAAGCTATTATGTATTAGAAATGTAGCTTGTAATTACAATCAAAGGCAGTACATTTAGCAACTCACCTCTTGGGAACCTGTATTTTTGTATATTTATAGTTTTACCCACAATGTTTGCCAAGAAAATTAATAATTTAATAATTTCACTAAACTCATGGATTATAATCACAATCCGATATAGGATATCCATGAGTTTAATGAAATTATATATTATATAAATTATAATACACAAGGTTTGTATTTACCCACTTCTTTCCAAAAGTTTCCACTGATACTTATTTGTCAAAAAAGGTCCTTGCATGCACAAGGAAAGAACGAAGATTTAGCAAAGAAAGATTTACAAAGTCTAGCAAGTACAACTAGATTTCAAGCTAAAAAACATTCCTTGTGCTCTGAAGAGTGAAGATGCCCATGTTTTGTCAAAGGGATGGTAAACAGTTTTCATACTTAAAAGCTTCCATTGAGTCATGAGAGCATTTCACTATTAATTCGCCAAAGTATAATTGTAGGAAGTGAACTGATGCTGCAGTCCTTTTATTTTTTTCCTCTCTGATCAGGCAGACAAGTCCATTCATGGAACAGAATGTTCCAATCGCCAGTTGCAAGTTGCTCTCCCTCCTATTATTATGTGGAAAACGATTTAGAAGAATGCTCTTTTTAAAAGAAAAATTATAAATAATGAGCAGCTATAAATAATAGCTGTTTATCTTTCTCTCTTGGTTTATCCTTCCATGTCACACAGACGTTTTAAGTTATTTAAACGACCAGAGTTAATGTGAGCATTTGGGTGGAAGGGGTGGGGGTGGGGGTGGGTGGAGAGATTTCTGAGATATGTCAAAATCAGCAAGAAGCATGACTCATCTGGACTCGGAATGAACTCAAGCAAATTGTACTCCTCTCTTTCTGCAGCAAATATTTAAACGGGTCCTTAGTAATTATAAGAGCTGTTTTCATATTTAAAAAAAAACACCTGAGGAAACATAGCGCTTGCTAGTTTTTAATCCATCCAGCCTGGAGCAATGACATTATGAAACAGAGCTCCTGAGATTGAAATTCCTACCAAGGAAAGAGGAGGCAATGATTTTTGCCAACTCCCTCCCTCTCTCAATTGCTGCGCTCTCTGAAAATCAGAAAGAAAAGACGCTTGAAAACAATATGGGGATAGATAGGGACCGGTATGATTAATTGAAGATGATGGAATTTTCTTAAGAGGCCCTCTTTATAAGAATTAGCATATTTCTGTTGCTACAAACTTTTGACTGTTGATATTTTGCTACATAGAAAAAAATGTTTTGCTTCTTTTCTCACTGTAGATATCTTTCTGTATATAAAGTGAGAGAGCGGAAAGTGAGAAGATATTTCTACACACGATGGCTGTAATTTGTTGAAGATGGAGCTGCTTTTAAAGACCACTCAGAAATTTCAGCTGTTCCAGTATGCAGCAACTCACATCTCATTGGTCCATCGTGATACTGCTATCTTACTCCATTGCTGTTGCAGATGGATTGGCTACTACTAGATCTCCAAGTACAATTCACAGTATTGGTTACTATTTTTAAACCCATTAATGGCTTAAAGTCTAATATATTTCAGAGACTGCCTTTCCCTGATCAAATTTGTTCACCTGATCCTGCCAATCATAGAATACCTGCTCAGGACTCTTGGGTAGCGTGACAGGAGGGGCCCTCCAGGTGGGCATTCTCTTTGACAGCTTCCCTCCTATGGAACCCTCAACACAACTCTAGGTCATCCTTACCCTTACAGTCTTTCTAGCTTTTCTAGAAGGCCTTTCAGGACTGATTCTGGAACCCTGTCTTCGTTTTTATTAAAATGACATTGATTCTATTTTATAGCTGTCTTATTTTTATACTACCATGTTTTATTATATATGTTGTAAACCACATGCAGTCTGTTTGGATTGAGGCAGGGGGTCCTCGGGTTACAACGGTAATTGGGGCTGGAATTTCTGCCACTAACTTATATGGCCGCGAAGGACAATGTGACCACACTACTTGACAATCCCAGCAGCCCCTGTTGTTGTTGATAGCAAGTCTTTCCTTCTTAGGTGGCTAGCAAGCAGGCCCATGGGTGAGCTATGAATGGGTGGAAGTCATGGAGCGTGGGTGGACAGGATCAAGTAAAGGGAGATGGGGAGATAGATGCTACAGGCAGGCACGAGTGGGAGCTACGGGTGAGAGCAGGTGAAGGAAAGTGTGTAAATGGATGCTACAGGTGGGCATAAGTTTGTGTGTGGATACTACAGAGTGCACGTGGGCGCTATGGAGCATAAGATCCCCCTGCCACCAGGGGCTCCTCTGGAAAAAAAGCAGCAGGAGCGACTTGAACTTCTGCCAGTTTTTCCATTGACTTTACTTAAGGGAAGCCAGTAGGGAAAATTGCAACAGGTAATCACATGACCTCATGATGCTGTTGATAATTGTAAGCCCTCTGTTACAATTTGAATGATCACTGAATGAATGGATGTAACTACCTGCATACATTTCATCAATAAATATATACATGAAACTATTAGAGTAAAAAAAGGGTAACAAACCTGCCCTTCCATTTGCTGTCTGATCTCTGAATATTAGTTGTGTTTAACAGAAAATGCTCCACTAGACTTGTACGTGGATAGAATCAGGAGTCTCGCCATAAACCCAAACCACAACTGAGTCAATTTAGTTCATTACTGAGTTTTCTAAGTTACCTTTCCCGAATAAATTCTGCCATTTCTTTCTGCATTTGCTTCCCTTTCAGTTGTTTCTGCAGAAGAATTTCAAATCCCGAGACTGTACTGTTCCCTTGGGGGTCCTTCTTATCAGTCTAAAGAAAATGAACAGCAAAAGAATGGGCCAGGTGAGATGTGTTAGAAAATGCAATCACATCCTTACACTGTAACAGGCATTTGCAAATATGCTGGGAAATATCCAGCTGTCATAACACCCTCTCCTCCGTCCTAATAACAGAGATATAATTGGTGCTAACAAATCTGCCAGGATTTCTTTTTGTTTTTTTTTTTAAAGGCAAATCATGGGCACCTGAGCTTGTTTTTGCATACAGGAAAAAAGCAATTCAATAGCAGGGGATTTTACAGTCACAAGAACTGACAATGACTATTATAAAAGGATCTCATAATGGACTTCTCGGGATTGTAAAGGTTGAAAAAGGAACCATCTCCCCTGAGGCGTCCAGGGCTCTGGTTAACTGGGGTGTTGAAAGAACATTCTGGAATAAGGCAGTGGAAATCCAATTAAAATTAACAAGAAGTCTTCCTAAATGCAGTCTCAAATTCTAGGTATTTCTTCTCTGAGTTTGCAACTTCCAGGAAATTCTACCTTTTTTTTTTTATTACCAACATCTTCACCCTCACTTTTCAAAAGTTCAAGAATGCTTACAATCCAGTATTAAAAATTAAACAAACTTGAAAAATTTAGCAAACTGATGAAGTCACCTCAGGTGGGCAAATCCAAGTAAAGAATTGAATGTACTGAGCTCCTACCTATCTATGGGGTTATCTATGCCAGATGAATTGCAACAAGAACAAAACTGGTTGTATAGTCCCCCTAGTGGTTAGTAGTGAGTATAAACAGTTTGAATACAAACGGGCGGGGGGGGGGGAGGGAGGAGTTGTACGGTGAGGCTTCTAATACCAGGCTCAGACAAATTGACATTTATAAGTCATTAATCCAAGAGTACAAGACAAATGAGAAGGGAGGTAGACCATTCATAGTGCATTTGGTAAATTTCACTTTCTCTGTCTCTGCGTCAACCAAAAATTAACCAAGAGTTCTTGATGCTTTAAGGTAACATGAAATTGGTAACTTGATTGAGAAAGATATCAACCTAGACTTAATATTTTATTCACCCATTTAGGCATGATCATGCATATTCACACACACACACCTTTCTTACTATAACTGTTTTGGAAACCATCTCTGTTGAATAAGACATGATGAGATAGATGCAAATGAGCTGAATGATACATAAAACACTATTTCTCAGATCTATATGGAATGTTAGGTTCAAATATGGCTGGACACACTTTTATGGTTCTAATGGCTACAGTGATTACAGAATGGAGATCATTACCCACTTATATGCAGCCACTGTCTCTCAAACACACACACACACACACACGAGCTCTTCTTCTTATCTTGGGCATATGGTCAACAAATAGAACAGAGAAGCAAAAAAGACTTTTGCAGAATCCAATCTGAGTCAGTCATTGGGACCAGAGATTTTGTCTTCTGAGCTTTCGGACTCGTGCTGGAGTCCTTCTTCAGGGAACTTCTCTATATGTTTACATAGAGTGTGTTACACTCCGCTAGAGAGAAGTTCCCTGAAGATGGGCTCCAGCACAATTCCGAAAGCTCAGAAGACAAAATCTCTGGTCTCGGTGACCAACCTAGATTGGATCTTGCAACATTATCCTGGGATACGTATATTTGGCTTAATTTGTGAGAAAAAAAACTTTTGACTGTCCCGATGTAATGCAACTTTCAGATTTCTGGTTTTACACTATGGGAAATTGAGGAGGGAGAATTTATGCTGTGCGAGCTGATCGACATTACTAGATAACAAGTGTTCAATCTGTGACTTTTGAAAGGAAGGCTCTTTTCTCCTTCTCCTTTTCTTCCCTCCCTCCTCAAAATAATTGTTTTTCTCTAGCCATTAACATAAAATAGGAATCTGCTGAGTGATCTGCTGCCTGATAGGTGGGGAAACACTTTTTACAGCTATGAATCACCCATCTCATGTTTAGAGCATTGCAGGCTGGAAGGCTAGGAAGTGATTCTACTTCATTCCAGTCTTCTGGTATTCTAATATAATGATTCTGCTGGATTTCATACGTAAAGAAAGACAATAACTTTTGCAGTGTCTTATGCATCAACTTTTAGGCTTGAATTTTATCATGTTTGCTATCAGAGAAGTTAGCAATATGTCTCATCCTGTGTAAAGCTCAACTGCTGCAGTAAACAGCATATGGGAAGCTGCTCACTTACCCAGAAATAATCACAGTAGCTCCATTCAGAAGGTTTTAGCAACTGCTGTTCTGGCATTGTGTCAGGATGGGGAAAAGTCACACAGTTTATCTAATAAAGAAGAAAGTAATATAAATATGCTGGACATGCAAAGCAACTCAGAAACAGAGACACGTTACATATGTAGAAGCCGGATGCTTAAACAGGACATAGATAAAGGCAGTTATTGGCGTGATTCTCTCTCCAGCCAGAAGATGTCATCAAAAGCAGGTAGAAAGGGCTTCCTCGGTCTGAAAGCTTCTGCAATAAGCTTTAGAAATAGAAAAAAGACCTCCAGCAAGATAGAACCACAATTTGAATTACATTTTTTTTCCTTCAGAAAAATCTAGAAACCCTTCAAAATAAAGCTATTTCTTACAAACCGTATGTGCAGAACTATTCAGATAAATTAATTCCAAAAACAGTTAAACCCAAAAAGATGGCATAACAGATGAAAGCTGCTTATCAAAATATATATACTAATCACAAACATGGTTATTAAGGTATATTTATTCAATTATCTATATACCTAGAACTCAACAGAGCACTAAATTCTCTCTGAAAGTTGCTAGGGTATTAGTATTCTCTGAATCCCATGGGTAGATAAAAAATCCACATATAATCTCTTTAGCTGAATGATAAATGTAATATTTGTTTTATGTGGTTGTTGACGATGATATCACATGAGTTATGCATAAATCACTACAGGCAAGTGACTTCCAATAATTTTCAGATATATATTGTGGGTCCTTAAGAGAGAGAGAAAGAAGAACAATTAAGGGTTTAATTTTCATGCTTATTTTCTCTGAAGTGTACAACTGATCTCTGGAAAATGTTCACTAGTTAAAATTATGAAGCTGCTGAGAGAACATTTATTTCTTTCGTTTCAGGAAAAACAAGTATACCAAAACAAATGCCTAAGTTTCTAATTATCATTGTTTTAGACATACAAGCTTTCCAGAAATACAAAGTACATCAGAATGCTCTTTATATGCCTTTTGAATCACAGAATTATAGAACATTGAGCCACTTATGGAGTGGGTCTTGTAGATGATCTAGTCCAATCTCCTCTTCAAAAGAGAAATCCCATACGATAGACTTTCCTGCAGATGGCCACCATACCTCCAGCAGATGAGAATCCATCATTTGCCAAGACAATCTTGTTTCACTGTTAAACAGCTTTTGCTACTGGGATGTTTAACCAAATACAAATCCTTTGTATTTAAACTCATTGCTTCCTATTTTGTCCTTGGAACAACTGAACAAACCTACCCCCTTTTTTCTGCATGACATTTTTTTCAGATACTTCAACATAGCTGACAAGTCTCTTTGTTGTCTTTTCTTTCCAGAAAAGAAAAATGCAGGCCTTCTCCATATAATGGAGAATATACTGATATTATCCAGTCTTATCAATAATAATTGTGCAATTTTGACATTGCTTCAACCACATATGATTCTATGCATTTTGTCTGGTAGGATGGACATGGAATATGTATGAGCATTTTTCCAAAACAAGAAATAAAAAATGTACAGATTATTTTTGTGGAGCAACAGGTATGGTTATTGGAGCTATCTAGTGTTTCAAGACCTGAAACATGTGAGTGTGAGGACACTCAAATATCACCTATTCACAATTCCCTACAGCTGCATCTTTTCTCAGGATCATGCAACAGTCCTCAACTGCAGCAAAATGTCAAGCTTGGTTACAAATAAGCCACAGATAGATGCTTCCTGTATATCTCAAAAGTCCCTTTTGGCCTTGAAATTCAAAGCACCTAAGGGCCCAAGCATTACCTTCTGATTTTACAGGAGCAATAAACCCAAGATGGTTCTAGCACTTTTATAAGATGGAAAATCTTCCTTCAAGCAGAATAGGTTTTTTAATCAAGTATTGCAGGAAGATGGAGAAATAGAGTGTTTTAAGAAAAGGGCATTTCTGTAACAAATTGCCAAAGGCATGGGCTATTGTTCTATTTTTGTAGAGTTATGGGAGTGCTCATGCCCATAAACAATTTTTTAAAATGTAAAATACTTCTGGAATGTATCTTTATATGGTGGCTATATGTGCTATGTGGGCAGCATCTAAGAAGCATCTCTTTCCTTCATACTCAACATAGGTGTTCCTGCTTGTAGTGGCACTGCCTATGTTTATAGGGTTTTAAAAATGTTTTCCAGGTCAGAAATGCTACAAAACTTTGAGAACGTTAGATTGACCAGAATTTGATAGGCAGAAATAAACACAAAATGGTAAAATTGTCCATTTTAAGATTACACTTAATACCCTGAATCTATGAAAAATAATTGCCTGTTTTCTACCTGAAAAATAACATCGCAGGAACAAAATAACGTGATAGCTGTTCATTTCCCTCAAAAAAATAGTTATTATACTGTTTTAGGGAAGGAAAAGAAGAATATATGAAGATCCATGAAACAAAGACCAAAATCATAATGAGTGCTTCATTCAAGCCTCGGAACAGCATCACTGGGGACAGTAGAAAAGCTATCTAAAAATAGTATCCAAGGCATGTTCTGAAAGACAACATCTTGTCCAACATCTCCTGCTCGCAGTTCCTCTCATGAGGATTCCAAGAAATATCGAATGATTTCATTTACAGCCATGACTTCTCTATGAACACTTGTTGGCATCTGAAGGACGTGGCTGCCCAATGGAACATCATTTGGTCATAATGTGGCTTGGGGGCATTTCCAGATGATTTAAATACCGACTAAATCCTTTTAACAGAGTGTCAGTGTTGAATGTGACCGAGTGCCAAAAGCACAATTTCCTGTGAACTTGCTGAAAATGCTGAAAGTCACAGCTGCATACCTACTTGGAATATGCACTGTATGTTGTGCAGGTGTACAACGTACATATTGCAGGAAAATGCAAAGGGAATAAGAATAATCTTTATTTTCACACATCAAAGGATCTTTGCTGATGCTACTTTGAAACATTTGCCTAAAGTTAACACTGTTCTGTGTGAAAAAATTTTTGGGCAAGAGTCAAGATATTTCAAGTGTTACAGATTCCTGCTAGCATATGAGTAGGAGGCTGTGTAGTTCCACCTCTAATACTACATAAATAATTTGATTCTTCTTTCCCATTTTCATATACTGTGTACCAGCAGGTACAAGCATAATTCCTTATCATGAATGTTGTATTTAACCTCTTAAGTTTCAAGAATTGGTTGCATAAAAAGGCACCCGGTTTGGGACAAAGGATCTATGTCACTGTTCAACAGCACTACAATGAGGATATATTTATAGATATCTGATTTATCCACTCCATATCTGCAATACTTTAATTGGAGGAACAATTTTTAAAACGAGATTATAGTAATGGGAGCATAGGGAACTAATTTTTGACCACAGAAACACTTGCTGGGAAAAATCTCAGTGAATTGGCAAGTACTCTGTATTTTCCATAGAAACAAAATAGCTGTTTTCATACCATATTTTAATATTATGGGAATGAATCCAAGGATAGCACCTCCTCCTGTAGGACATCAAACATTTGTGCAACCTCTGATTTTCTTCAAAATCTGCAAACCAAATAATGGTTTGTGCCTACCTGGAGACACCACCATTATTTGGCTGTTCTGATACTAATGCCAACTTACATCTTGTTGATATGCCCAAAGTCAGACATTCTGAATTGTGATATACAGGGAAGAAGACAAGATGGGGACAGACAAGTGAGCCTAGCAATGATTGGTGCTAGTATCTCTAATTCCAAAACATGATTTTGTATTATTTATAAACGGCATTCTTTGAGACCTTTTCAAAGTCTCCTGATCATCTGATATATTTTAATAGATTTAACAGATTAACTGTTGGAGTTAAATTAGTTGGAGTTGGAGGGGACCTTATCTAGTCTAAACCCCCACCTAAACTGGAGATCCTACACCATTTCTGACAGATGGCAGTCCAGTCTTTTCTTGAAAGCCTCCAGTGATGAAGCTCCCCCAACTTCTGAATTTTTTATTCTGAAGGAAGAAAAATCAACAGATAGTTTGTGTTTTCTGGTCTTTGGAAGTCAGAGGTAAACATCTGAGATATCCAGAAGAGCAAAGTTGAAAGAGACTTTGGAGGTCTTCTAGTCTAACCCTCTCCCCCCATTCAAGCAGGAAACTCTATGCCATTTCATACATTTTCTTTAGAAATGATGATGTTTCTCAATGTTGAGTTTGGAATTTAAGAAAGGAATGGAAGAAAATCTGTAGTATTGGAGGTGCAAAATCAATCGACTTTAGAAATTAGGATAAAGGATATAATAGGAATAATAAAATACATTTTTTCTTTTGTTTCATTTGTGATTTACTGTGATTATTCTGACTTTGTCAGAAAATGACATTGCTTCAGGCAAATTCAGGAACAATGACTTCAGAAGAACTGTTAAGTAAAGTTAGCCGAGTTGACATTACTAAACACTTATTCTGGTGTAACAATTCCTGAAGTAGTCTAAAGCACAAATAAACAACAGAGTGAAGGCAACCAAATAAAAATGAATATCCTTTGTCAAAATTTGGGGCTGTTGTTTTAGTAACCTGCTAGTTGGAAATCAATGTAAGGTTTTTATTTTGGTTGCTAACAGTTTCATTGAGAAGTGGAGCAATCTGCAATTCATTCAGTAAATCTGATCCTATTGCAGCCCTTCATCAAAACAAATCCAAAATCGCAGTTCCACAATAGAGATGCATTCCAAAAATCCAAATGAGCCCGTATTTTCACAGCCCAGTGTATATCCTAAAAGGTCTAAGTTGATAAAACACTAAAATTACATTTCAAATCTGTAAAACCTGAATGGATATCAAAAGAGAACATCAACACCTATATAAATAATCATTCCACCATATATTAGTTCCCTGGTGTTCTCTCTCTTACTCAATCATTGAGGGATGTCATGTTGCTTCAACAGATTTCTTTCCATTATTGTTTGCAGCAAAAAGGCAGACCTCACATTTCAACAGAGAATCATTTATAGCTTTTTAATCACTGCTTTCAAATTTTGAACATGTGGTCCATGTTTATGAGCAACAATGGTGTGAAGAATAAGTTTACATTGATTTAAAAAACAGAATTCAAAATATAACATCTCAACCATCCACACTGAAAAACAACTTTAAAGTGTATGTATTTCGATGTATGTATGTATACTAGAGAAAAATAACTATGAGTACACACACACAAAAGCACACACGCACAATTATTTTCCTCTAGTCACTGAAATCTGAAAGGAAAGCCACTGTAGAAAACAGGTTTCATGAAATCTTGGTGTCAACTTTTTGCGTTGTCTACACTGTTCACAAGAATGCTCCATTCTTTAGATGACTTCACTAGCGATAAATTGTTTGAACGAAATGAATGAAAACTGCTCCAACTGCAATTTAAAATTCCCAGCCCACAGAAGGGTCTCCCACCCTCTCTTTTGCTTTCTGATGTTTCTTTCCTATCTCTGTATAACAGGCTTTTTGCTAGCTTCAGCCTTTTAAACATGGCTTCATTGCAGCTACCGCTGAGGAGAGGAAGAACCATGTTTACATCTGGAAAACATGAGGCAGACCCCAGCACACAAAATCCTGTCTTCACCCCCCTCCAGCCTGGCCTGCAGTGCTACTTGCTGACTGGATCACCATAGCAACTGGATTGGTGATTATCACTCCAGGATTCTACTTACCGTAAAGGTGTTCTCCTTATTTTGCTTTCGAGTAGGTGATGGAGACCCAGGACTCTGAGGAGAGAGGCAAGAAGCATCATCAAAACTGCATTCCACATCCGACATTGTATGTTTCTTGGGAAATTGAGTGTATGTAAGGATATGTGTATGGAGGTGGTGTTTAAAGCTGAAGGCAAGCCAATTGTGAGCAGAGTCCCTTCTACTTGATTCCTGGATTAGCCTTTTCCCATGTCTGGAAGTGTCACAGCTTGGCAGCTGGGCTTTTGCATGGGAGAGTTCTGTACTGTGATCCTGAAGCAGCACATAAGCGCTGTACGGCCAGATAATTCATTCGAAAGAGGGTGACCCCTCCCCTTCCAATCACTGCTTTGCTTTGGTATTAACCCTTCAACTGCACGCCAACGCTGGATTTGGACTCTCTCGGTACTAAGTCTAAAGAGTTATCAGAAACTCCACAGGTACACACCGCAGTTGGTATATATAAACAATGTTTTGATTGTAGGTTCAGACACCTTTCATTTCCCCCTCCCTTTTGGATGGCTTTGAAAACTCAGTCAGAAGAGGTAAAGACATATTTCCTAAGTAGAGATAGGGAAGCAATTCATTTAACACAAGCTTATCTAATTTGCATTTTCCAGAATTAAAATCTACACTGTTTCAGTGTCAAGATGCAGCTCTCCAAAAGAGTGCATACGATAGTCTTTACTTTAATGGAATGATTTGTACAGAAATGCCTGCATTGATACAATAAAATAAAATAAAATAAATCCAACACATTTTTTTTATACCCAGCTTTCTTGAAACTAAATAAACACAGCTAGCTAGCATTAGGAAAAAAATATGGTCTTCTAAAATGCAAACTGTTATAAAAACAAGGGAAAATGAAAATATTAAACCCTGAACAAAAGTAATTGCTTCATCCAGCTATAGCTGTCTGCATGTGAAGCTAAAACCACAATGCAGCTGTCCCTCAGGCTTCCTCTACTTATATTTGCAAAAGACTAAAAGCTTTATAAAGCATTCCTTGCATAAAACTGACAGACACAAAATGAACTAAACAAAAAGCACTGGGTGCAATGCTCTTATCAAGGAGACAACAGCTATATGTTTTAAACTGACATTTGCTCTGTTATTCCATCTCAAACCCCATGCAACAGCTAACAAGAGCATGATGGACATGTCCTGCTGCCTCCTTAATTGCATCCATTATTCTTGAAAGGTTCATTTATTGTCTATATCTCTTACAAAATAAAGAAATAAATGTACACTGTATTACCCAGCACTACACAGAACAACAACAAAAAAAAGTACTTCAAAAACAGAGCCCACCTGTTTTGTTTTGAATTGCATACGATAAAATGATAGACAATAGTAACAAAAATCTAGGAAACAGATTTAATATAAAGAATAACCAATTCTTTAGGGGCCATATTCCCCAGGTTAGAGCATCTTGCCAGTCCATCCTTATCTGCACTATAGTGTAATCTGGAATAGAGCATCATGCTCTTCCCTCCTCCCTGATTTCTGGGACAGAATTTCTTCTTTTTCCTTCAAAGCATCCTTATGTAAGTGAATCAGCTTCTCTTAATTTCATTTTAAAACAAAATACATCTTTTATCAATCTTTAATCCAGGACATGAATGTAAGAGCCAAGAAACACTTTAATCTCTCACACATTTGTATCTTAAAATGTCTCAAGGGATTTTTTTAAAAATAACACTGTTAGCATTAGTTTTTTACATGTAGAGAAAAGGAATCACCAAGCAGCAGGCCAGTATTGGGTCTACAACAAAGTTAGGGCTGATTGCTAATTTTACCGGAAAGAACCAGCTAATGAAGAATTCTAAATCCTCTATTTTCTTTATAAAAATAATCATTAAGAGCCAGTTTGGTGTTGTGTTGAAGGCCCAGAAACAAGAAGGCTGTGACTTCTAGACCTGCCATGGCATGAAAAACTGGCTGGATGATTTGGGACCAGTCATTTCTCTCAGCCCAATTCGCCTTACACAGTTGTTGTTGGGGGAAGAATAGGATACATACATAACCTTGAGTTATGTATTAAAAAAAAAAAGGCAGAATAAAAGTAACAAAAAATATTCACTTTAAAGCTACCAGCTTTGCCTGAATGGAATGTACTTTCATGCTCAATAAACTGCTAGCAGCTTCAGTAGTAAACCTAAATTATCTGAGCTTTCAAACCAGCAAATTGCTTTGGTTAATATCAAAACTTCTTTGAACCAACTGTTTGTATCACATTAGCTAAGGATATTCCATTTTCCCCATTCTTTCCAGTTGGCTGACTGGGTTGAGTCTTGCATTTCAAAGCCAATATAAGAAAAATCACTTGAGCCTTGCATGAAACTGCTCTGATGACTGTCTGGCCATTTCAAATCACCTACAGTTAATGTGAATATGAAATCTATGCAATGAATAATCTATATAGAATAATGTGCTCAGAAATCATCTAATTCTGTGCCATTCAGATAGAATCCTCAATAAATCCAAAAGAAAGATCCTTAGTTTAAATTCTTACACCAAGACCAGATGAACTCAAAGTGATCGTTATCCTGGGTGCTACAAACAACAACAACAATGAAGACCAAGATAGACACACACAAGAAGTATCTACAAAGCAAGGTTCACTCCCAAAGTGTTCAAAGTGGTGAGATATGCCAGAGGCATAAAGGAAGATACAGAATATAGTAACTATTCAATCTGCCTTTTCATCTAGAGAGAATGAGTCTTCAAGAAAAGTAAAAACTGGATGCAGAATTTGTTTGTTCAGTGGACCTATTCCAACCATGCATTTATTTTAAAAATGCATTTATTTCAGGTGACTGTTAGATTCAAAGTTTTGGAGAATGCACTCAATTTCAGACCTAGTTTTCTCCTCTTGTATGCTAACTTTGTGATTTTCTACATGCATCAAATGAAAGGCCTATTTAATTCAGCATTCTGTTTCCATAGTGGAAATATCAAATACCTACAGGAAATCCACAAGTAAGGTGTGAGAAATCTTCACACTTGCATTGCATTCTCAGTGTAAAGCCAACAGTTTGCACTAAGAGATGTATTGCTTTTAACACTATAGGTGATACACGCTAGCCAACATGACTGATAGAAATTGAAAACTTTATCTTTTTTTATTTGTTCATTTGGAAGATATTCAAGTTGGAAGTCAAATCCTAACATGCAGCAATTAATTTCATATTCTATACGCTAGAATAGAATAGAATAACAGCGTTGGAAGGGACCTTGGAGGTCTTCTAGTCCAACCCCCTGCTTAGGCAGGAAACCGTACACCACTTCAGACAAATGGTTATCCAACATCATCTTAAAAACTTCCAGTATTGGAACATTCATAACTTCTGGAGGCAAGTTGTTCCACTGATTAATTGTTCTATCAGGAAATTTCTCCTTAGTTCTTAGTTCTTCTCCTTAGTTGCTTCTCTCCTTGATTAGTTTCCACCCATTGCTTCTTGTCCTGCCCTCAGGTGCTTTGGAGAATAACTTGACTCCCTCTTCTTTGTGGCAGCCCCTGAGATATTGGAACACTGCTATCATGTCTCCCTAGTCCTTCTTTTCATTAAACTAGACATACCCAGTTCCTGCAACCATTCTTCATATGTTTTGCTACATGAAGTACATTCTCTTATGTACCCTGAATTTTAACCTTATTGGATGAAACAGCTCTAGAATTATATTATCCTCTCAGTTTTCACATTTAATTGTTTAACACAGCTTCCATTTATCACTTCCTTTTTCCCATGCTATAGTAGCCATAGTTGTTGTAAACGTTGAGCATAAGAAGCAGCCCTTGCCCTTGATAATTTGGACTGTCCACTGTGTTTACAAGAGCACTGACCTCAATAAAGTTACCCAGTAGAAAGGAGGGGGAAGGAATTTGTTTTGACGCCTCAGGAAGCTAATGTAAAAAGAAAGGTGTGTAAAAGACCTGCTGTGGACTGAGTCAGATGTAGCCTTGTGAAAGGCTAAACATGAGCAGAATCCCCCACTATACCTAGTCCAAGAGTTATGGAAAGAAAGAGAAGGGCCTAATTTTTGTTCTAAAAACAGAATCTTCATTGTTTGGGGTCCATCCTGTTATGTTGCAAAGGCAAAATTAATCTATTCTACAGTGACACTGCAAACATTAAAAAAATACTGGATAATGTTAAGAATGAAGATACTGCCAAGTATTGGAAATCTCAGTTGTGAGTGGGGCCTCTGCTTTTGGCAGCACTGGGGGTAGGGTGGGGGGAGACAGAAAAGATTGAGAGGAAGAGAGACTGAGGGCCCACACAGTGTAGAAGGCCAGCAGAGCTGTTTTGACCAAGTTCTTCATGTTCTAAAAGATATGACTTGCTGACTCAATCAAAGCTTACAGTAGCAAATTTTTCTGAACCACCATCCTCTAACAAATTAATTGTGTTGGCAGCACATATTTTCTGATTTGCTATTCTACAATATGGTATATCCAAGGGGATTCACAAAACGTTGATGATGACAATGAACCTTTCAATAACTTACAGGAGCTTCCTAAAAACTACTGCTTCCTAGGTATACCTTGCAGAAGGTACACCTTGCAGTTATCCAAGAATTTAACAATGGCAATAAGGCAGCTAGTTTTTTTTTTTAACAGGAGAAGTTCAGGATATTGCTATTCAATGATGTAGCTAGTCTGAGCAAATAATATTAATTTGCCTACTTTCCTGAATAATGCCGGAATGTAAGTATTAAACAGTATTCATATCTGTAGAGGAAAGCCAGGGCAAAATAAAACTAAATTCTATGAGCTGGAACATATTATGTTGGAGGTAGTAGCTTAGACTGATGTTTTGTTTGTAGTGTTTGGTCTAAGATTGTTGTATCATTCACACAATGTAAACATTTGGTAGATGTAGAACTATATAAATTTTCCCTGACATATGTCTGAAATTCTGTTAATAAATGGAAAAAGGAAGAAATGGTAAGATGCATATCCTAGTCAATGTAGCTTTTTTATTGAAAGAACATGTTCTTTCCATTAACATTTGGGAAGGAGCTGTATCTTATCAGTGGCCAAATAATAACATAACAAAAGGATCTGATAGGCTTTAGGAAGAGGTTCATAATTACATTTCTGATATGCTATTGTAATCTGTGATGTAACATTTCCATTATAACAATGTGGGTATTGTAAATGAGAAACTGAAATTGACACGTAAACTGCCAAAATTACTTTGCAATGTCATGGTTGGGAATGACCAAATGTATTTTAATCCACACAGGTGCAGAATTGGGATTTAAATTTTGGATTCAGTGCTGCATTCTAGAATACTGGGTCTTTATAACTCAGCTATATTTAGTCATCATGTCTCACCTTTTAAGACATGCAGAACATTCAAAGCAATTTCCTCATCACTCTGGAAATATTGAAGAGAGTGACAGAAGATTTCTAGGACTTGTACTTTTTATTTTTATTAATCACTTGGATGGTGAGATGGAATGCAACTGATTAAATCTGCACATGATACAATATTAGGGGAAGGGGAGATAGCTAGTATCATAGAAGACCAAAAAAAATCTTATTGTAGCAGACAAATGTGCTGATTTTTTTTTTAAATGAAATTTAACAGAGACTTATGCTTAGGAAGTATAAATTAAACATATAGATATAGTTTGGTTTATGTATGGCTTTGTAATAATACTTAAAGTATTTTGGAATAGTTGTTGATTACAAGCTGAATATGAATCAATAGTCTGATATGGTTGCAATAAAAATTACTACAATTTTAGGTTTCATGGGTACTACAATTTTTACTTTATTCTGAATCGGTTAGCTCATAGCTCAGGCATTATGTTTAAAGTACTACACTTTAGGAATTCAGATTACTGTAAGTAGTGCAGGGTCAGAAAAGGGCAGCCAGTGATATCTGGGGACTAGAAACAATAACTTCCATTGAAAAATTGGTATATTTAACCTTGAGTAGATTTGGAACAAAGAGAAATATAAGAGCATTCTCCAAATTCCTGAAGGATGTCACACAACAGAAGGTCTACTGTCTCAGAGGTAAGGACACAGTGTAATGGACTTAAATTTGAATTAAAATGTAAAATGATTATTAGAAAAAAATGGCTAATCATTAAGAGGAAATTTTATGACAGTGGAAACTATTATTATCCAGAAAATGGTGTCCTTTCCTTTGCTGGATGGGTTCTAGGCAACTATCTGTCCGAGAAGCTTTAATTTGTATCCTCCAATTAGCTGGGTGGGGGCTAAATTCAGTGGCCTAAATGTTCCTTCCCATTCTGTGATTTTATAAAATCAATTGGTGTTGTTAATAAATATCACTTACAAACATGGCTGGAAACTACAGGGAGTGCTGGGCTGCAATTTAGTGATGCGAAGATCACTTCAGGATGATCCTGGTGTTTAGAATGTAGGAAAGTAGAAATTTCTCAAAAGCCTCCTAGCACAGCAACATGCTGGACTGGTGTCAAGGACTGTCATTATCACCACACTGTTATACTGAGCACAACAATTATACATAGAATTCTGAAGCATGTTTGACCTAAAGATCTAAACCACATATTTCTGCAAGAAAACTTCAAGCCATCTTTCAACATGTTCCAAAATAGCAATAAAAGAGGCTCATGGAGGAATTCCAATACCCCCACTTCCCGAGTTCACACATATCATAAAAAATGTGAGAAACATAGATTTGATTGAAGATAACAAAAACAAAACAAAACAAAAAAAACCACCCCATCTATGAGGTAAGGACCAAAGAGCAAAGAGTAAGCAGACAGCTAGTGTAATTGCAATTAAAACTTGGACAGAAAGAAAGTACATTGCACGATTTCCCTGAAGAACTTCATGCTACCAAATGATTACAGACGGCCACAACTGAATAAAATCAATAGGAGCTTTGACATATAAAAACAGCAGAGAAAGAGAGATGGAGAGAGATAGAAAGAGAAGGGGGGAGCAGTGGTGGGTTTCTACTGGTTCACCCCAGTTCGGGCGAACCGGTAGTGGCGGTAGCAGGAGGCTCTGCCCACCCATCCGGATATCATCACGGACGCTCTGTGCATGCACAGAAGGATCTGCGCATGTGCAAAAGCGCTGCACATGCTCTCCCAATTCCAAACCGGTAGCGAAGGGAAGTAGAAGCCACTGGGGGGGGGGAGGGGGGGGGGAGGGGGGAGGGAAGAAGGAACTTGCTTCAGAACTATAATGACTTTGAAATTCACAGTACAAGCATGGACTTTGCTGTGGAGTAATGGTGATTCACATTTAAAAAAAAAACAACAACCCAATTTCCAAGCTTCCTTGTACTGGAAGTTACCACTAAACCTGTTTCTAAATAAAGCTAAATTTATTAAGGGAGGAATTCTGAAGCACATTATGTGAGTTTACCTGAGGGTCACTGCTGATTTTGCGGAGACTCATGTGGCTTGGCTCTAGCTGGGATGCCAACGTGCCTGGTATGTGATATCCGTTCACTGTAAGAAAAAGACATGCAGTTCAGACTGAGGAGGCAGGAAAGGAGGGGGTGGCTTTTAAATCACTGTTAAAATCAAGCATTTTACTTGACCTTCCTAAATGGTGATTAACATATTATTTAACACTCTCCAGAACCAATTCAGTAAATGAAATACAGTATTCCACAGATACTATTCACCTTTTTGTTAAATGAAGGAATATTTATTTTATTTTGTTTATTTAACCTACTGTGTGCATGCTGGGGGTGGGGAGGAAGGCTTCCAAATGTTTTTTAAACAGATTACAATTACCATTAAAATAGAAAATAAATAATCCAACAATTAAAAACCAAGTTAAAAAATGTTTTTTCTAGATTTTCTAAATGCTAAAAGAATGGGGGCTAACCCCTAACCCAAAGGAGAAGATTGCATAGCTGAGTAGAAATGAAAGTGCTAGGGAAAAGGATCTCTTCAAAAGATTTTTCCTGTATAACCTGGGAATTTGGGTTTTTTCAAACTCTATTCATGGAAGACATCTATAAGGATCTGAATGGCTTCTGCAGAACTTGGGGAAAAAACCTTTCTGCATGGAACTACAGAACAAAAACTCTTGGCAAGGGAATAAGGCTTATTCTCTTGAACAGAGAGGGGTTTTTTCCCCTTAGTCTTTTGAGGAAAGGAGTTCCCCCCTCCTTGTCAGTCACTTAGAAAAATTGCTATGAATGCCGCTGAAGAACAGCATCGAGATGAGAGCAGATGGCTTAAAACTTTCTGCAAGGGACTATGGGAAAAAAAAATTGAACGTATTCAGCCATCCTATCTTACCATGATGCTGCTCTTTGGGATGCCAGTTTTTTAAGGTACAGCGGAAAAGGTGGGACTTGTCACCTGACATTGAAAAGCCTCATCTTTATTGATCAGGGAATTTTTTTAGAAAAAAAAGTCAAATAGAATAGTAGCCGTCCAGGGCTGCATGAGGCTTATGGGAGGCGAATTGGACATGCCTTTTTAAGTGTTGAAAATAGTCCCTCAGCATCATCAACAGGACATTGCTGAAATATTTTCAGATTTTGAAACAAAAAGCAACATTAGTTGTTAACTAATGTTAACAATTGTGACAATGGTCACAATTCATGGTGTTGGTTATTACCTTTAAAGCCCTACATGGCTCAGGGCCAGGGTATCTTCAAGACCGCCTTCTACCGCATAACTCCCAATGACTGGTAAGATCCCACAGAGCTGGTCTCCTCCAGGTCCTGTCAGCTAAACAATGCAGGCTGGCGGGCCCATGGGGGAGGACCTTCTCTGTGGCTGCCCCAGCTCTCTGGAACCAGTTACCTCCTGAGGTCCAGACCATCCCCACCCTATTGGCCTTCCGAAAAGCGGTGAAGACCTGGTTTTTCTGGCAAGCCTGGGACCGTTGATCTCGCTCTTGAAATCCGGCGAGATCCGGCCATGAATGGTGTGAATGGGTTTTAATGTTTTTAATGTTTTTAATTTTTAAATGTTTTTTATAATGATTTTAAATGCATTGTGAGCTGCCTTTAGTCTTCGGAGAGGGGCGGCATACAAATTGAATTAATAAATAATAAATAAATAAATTAAAACACACTTAATGGAATGTGATTGTTGTAGATAAATATTGCCTTTAAAATCATATGGCAAAATTAGGTAAAGTGACACACGTTTCTCTCTCTCTCTCTCTCTCTCTCTCTCTCTCTCTCTCTCTCTCTGTGTGTGTGTGTGTGTGTGTGTGTGTGTACACAAACACACATACATACATATATAAAATATGCACACATATAAACACACACACACATACATATACATATACTACATCCATCCATCCATACACACACATATACTATATAATATGTGTATATAATTATGAAGTGATCTCAATTACTTACAGAGCAGAACTAAATGTTAGAAAATAAAAATGAGTCTAGAAGTATCAGTAGAAAGAGATTCATTATGAATTCCAGTTCATTATGATTTTGCACTTTCCTTCACTGTTTATTATTTCGTATCGCCTATAATTTAAAAAGTGGAGCGAATGGGGCAGGGAGAGTGAGGTGAGTTCCAAACACAAAATTCAAGGATCTCAAAGAAACCAACACAAGAACTCTAAGCACCTTGCTTTCAGAGGAAAAAAAATGAAAGCAATGATGAGGATTTTCCAACAACGGCAAGGATTAAAATTGTCAAAGCAATGATTTTTTTTAACAGTAGTAATGTATTGCTGTGAAAGCTGGATACTGAAAAAAAAGAAGACAATGAATTATGGATCTGGAGATAGTTACTAAGACTGTGAATCAATTCCGGAAGGAATAAAGATTGACTGCTCCTTTGGGGAAATTGAACAGCAAGCACATACTTTGGTTCAGAAGAGTGGATAATAGAGTAGAAAAAACAACACTCAGCAAGGAATGGAAGGATGGAAAGGTAACCTATAAGGTGGGTAATCAGAATCAGGGATATCATAGGAAGATCCTTGCAAGATTGCAGATTCAGAATAGGTCAAAGTGGTAGGCATATGTAGTGGCAATGCAGAAGTCCATTATTATTTTGAGGGGTTTGGTGACATATTTTGATTTCTCCTTCATATTAAGAAAAGTCTAGACGTTTAGACTTTATTCTGAATTAACCTGCCTGTTTTTTAAAACTCTTATTTACTGAATAAAAGAGAAAAGATAGGAAGGAAGGAGAGTGTCTTTACATAGCTGCAAACCTGTGAAAGTCATATGCCATTCAGTCAAAGCCAGGTCTTACAGTCTCAAGACCATTAAAGGGTCAGAAAGTCATGGTGAATTGTTGTTGTTTGTAGGGACCCTCTGCACAAAACCTAGCACTGGGTACTGTGGAAATTGGAGTTCTCTGCTCTCATGTTTAAGGAGGTCCTGACAGCTTATTAAAGATTTTGATCTCATCTTGTTTGATATATATGCTTTTTACACAGTGGTGGGCTGCTACAGGTTCAGACCGGTTCAGGCGAACTGGTAGTTCTGACCAGGGTTGGGCCTGCCCACCCACCCTGGTGCTATTACGTCCTATATAATTGCCAGTTTCTCGATGCCATGCACATGTACGCGCTCACATTTTTGGTTCCGGGCGAACCGGTTGTTACAACCGGCGGCAGCCCACCCCTGTTTTTATGTTATGCTTTTAAATTTTTATGAGTTCATAACAAGGCTTAAAAATCTCTTTATTCACAGGTGTGCTTATTGTCTCTGGATCCAAATTAACCAACTGACGGGGTACTTGATCACTGCCTTGACTCTTGGCAAAACAGCATACTGCATTCAGCGACTGAAGTTTGAACCTGATTTGATGGTACCTAAATATTATTCATAAGCCATATCTCTGCCAAGGAAATTCTGTGCATTCTCCTAGTACTACTTTCTCTCTAAATATATCACGGGGATTTTCTTATTTAATGCAGATAGTAGGAGCTTTTATGATCCCCTCCCCTTTTGGAGAAAGTAACTGCATGCGCCTGTGGATGATTTGTCCCCTACCTGTAGGCAAGGAGTTCTTCTGGCTCACAGAATTCTTTGGAGTTCCCGGAACACTGCTTGGTCGCTCCCAAGTAGTCTCTGTTAAAAATAGTAACAATATCAGTATTAATAGTCACAATCACTAATAGGTGCACATAAGACCTTTGTTTTCTATTCCACTTCTATACAACCACACATAATGGATCTTATAAATGCCAATCATCACCAGACAAAAGTGTTAATTCATGAAGAAATGTGCTCTTTCATATAGTGTTCAATGCCAGTTCTTTCAGAGAAAATGGTATTCATTAAGATCCCTTTAGGCAGTCTTCCCACTTAAAGGAGGAAGTTGCTCTACAGGCTCAACAACCTACTGTGATTCTAGTCAGTTATGTGTCAAATTGAAACACCCTACACGTCTAGACTGTGGGAGTCAGAAAAGCTGGAAGAATACACCTCAATGCCTACAAACCCACAGACTGGGATTGTTTTTATCTGTTGTTGTATTAGCCAACCGCTACAGTTTTCTACAATATGTCAACACTCATTAGAACTGAGCTATCAAACTGTCCTGAAATATGCAAAGGAAAGAGCATAGGTAGAGTGCATTTCCTATGCAACTGAAGAATCACAATTATGATGTCATCAGACTTTCCTTTAGAAAATAAAATAAGGGTTGTCTGTGCCCAGCTGTTTAGCAGCAACCATGTCCCCTTTCACTCATGTACGTTTTTTTTCCTACTTCAAATCAAGCATTTTTTGCTGAGCGCAAAAATGTCTCTTTATTTAGCTACTGGAACATGGAAACATCATCATGAATTGCATTTCATAACATCTGGGCTGAACGGGGATGGAAACAAGTGTTAAGGAATCACTGCAGCTGTTTCCAAATGATAATTGCAGACAACATCTCTGACTGTAGATGGTGCCATCACTTTGAATTAGCCACAGACTGCAGCTCCACCTTCCAGGTTATTTCTGCAGATCAGGAGTTGCTGCAAGTACAGATGATTTAAAGCATCTACTACAGTGTTTGTATTTAGAAGCTGTGTGCTTGCTTTCTAAGAGTCAAACAGTTAGTATTCAAAGAAGGGAGCAAATCTACATCTAAAATCTACATGTGAAAATGCTGCAAAAAATAGGGAGGAAAAGCTTTGAAGAAAGGTCACTGATAAGCCCACACACATAATAATTGATTATAGATTATGAAAAAATAGTTATGTACCAGCAAGATTTGGTGAATGATGGGCAATGAAATTATCCAAAACTATAAATCAAATATCTGTGTAGTTTAATACTACACCAGGCCAGCAAAATACTATGCTGACTTGTCCTTCTCCTATTATTTTTTTATTTATTTTTTTTATTATTTTTTTATTTATTTTTATATGCCACCCTTCTCCGGAGACTCAGGATGGCTTACAATGTGTTAAGCAATAGCCTTCATACTTTTGTATATTTTATACAAAGTCACCTTATTGCCCCCACAAACCCGGTCCTCATTTTACCCACCTTAGAAAGGATGGAAGGCTGAGTCGACCTTGAGCCTTGTGAGAATTGAACTCGCAGTAATTGCAGGCAGTTGGATGTTAAATGCTGCCTTAGTAGGAAGCATTAGCCTCCTACACCACTCAGGCTCTTTTCTTTTCTTTTCTTTTCTTTTCTTTTCTTTTCTTTTCTTTTTTAGATTTCCAGTTATTGTTTTCTCAATCTTCCTTTTTCTTTGGACACTGATGGATTTGTGCTAATTGCTGATCTGTGTAACCTGCATAACCAGCTTAGTTCCTGCTTTGCAATCTATCTTGTGGCATCATAATATCAGGTTTTGTGTGTCTCACTGGTTTCACCTAATAGTAAACTATAAACATTCAGATTGTCTTTCTGCCAGATCACACTGTGTTCACATGGAAAATGGACAAGTATCACTCACTGATTGCACGATTTGTTCTGCTTCTATTGCAACAATAACACAGTTTTCTGTACACTGTTTTGCAACTGAATTCCCTCCGAATATCCTGTCACGTATCATAAACACTATCTCCTGGTCCGCAGTACATAAACGTGAATAAGAGGGCATTAAAAACACAAGAAAGACAACTGTATTAGCTATTGAATACCGTTTTCTAAACCTGCTGCTACCTTTTAAAAAGTATAAAAGATAAAATCCTTTTTATGCAGATTTTAATACACATTCTACTTTTTCAGAACAATATATTTTAACTGGAAAATCTAAGATTTCATGAAGCAATTCCACAACTCTGCCTGCTAAGACCTTTTTACTACTGTAGTGATGACAAAGCATCAATATGAATCATGACACCTGTAAATATACTGCACAGTGGCACTGCCACTTACATATTGTCCTTTATCTTAAGTGATAAACAAAACATGTGATAACACTTACAGCATAACTAAATCAAAGTTACCATAAACGCAGCACCGAAGAAAAGCTCTATAATGGAAATTCCTTACGTGATTATTCACATGTTCTCATGCTTGGGGTTTCTTTTCTTTCCAAATTATGTTTGTGGTTGATGGATCATAATCATCCATCATGAATCATTACATTTCAGTACACTACAATTAGAAAGCAGACCTCTGGTTTGCATGAAAAAAATCCACAGTTTTCACTTGTTTCCAGTGATTCAGATTATTATTATTTTTTTAATTTGATTTATATCAATTGGATTATGAATCCATTCGCCCAGTTAATGTATGAAGATAGACCATGATTCCTATAGCCATCATGTAAATGGATGCAAAAGCTAAATTGTGGATGAGTTAATGGATAAACTTGTTGCCTTTCCAACATATTGGCTGAGAATTCTATGAAGTGTAATACAGTACACTTGTATTACTGAGGTTGCCAAGTAGTGGAAGATTGTATTATATTATAAGCTTCCCTGGCTCTCCCCAAATGTATGTCTATGCACAGCCCTAGTTTTCAGTACTAGTCATTCAGCAGCCAAACAGCCATCATTTTAGTCAGCCTCCTGGAGCTCTGTTAACTGAACACTCTAAAAAAAAAAAAAAAGCATTGCCGCCAGTGATGCAAAAATATTCTTGGCTTAAGCATTCAAGTGCAAATTATTAGCCTCTGCAGGTTAAAACATAAAATAAAGCAGCACTGAAGGCAAACAATTAGCAAGTGTAATATTATTAATGCTAAAATTTGCTTGGCATTCCATTTCCTATTTAACTGTCTGAGTTAGCAGCTTTTATTTTAGACTTGTTTGGAATGTCTGCAGAGTGTTGAGATGGTAATAGTGAGTCACAATAGGTTATTTCAGTGCAGAATGCAGAGTGCAGAATACAAGTATTTGATTAAAGTGTGGAAGCATTAGCATGATTTGCGATTTGAAGATAGAAAGAAAACACTGAATAAGTAGTATTCAAGGAGCCTGAAAAATCAATAAATTCTGTCTCTGAAATCTTAACTTATCCTGAACTATCTGCTGAAATCTTCACATTCTTCTGTTTTCTGCTATTGCTATTTCTGCTATTTTCCACTATTGTCCCTTAATTGGATAATATTAAAATATATCTAGCTATTTTAGGATTAAATTTGAATTTTCATCCTTTCTTGGTAAACTATTAATTTTATATGTATTTATACATTTACATGTGAAGTGCTGATTGCACATGATGTATTTGATGTTAATAAAATGGAATTTAGATATGATAGAATAGATAGATAGTAGATAGCTAGCTAGCTAGCTAGAATTGGTCTACCCAAGACCCATTCCAGCAGCTCCTTTCGTGATAAGAAAGTAGATCATAAATTTATGCCTTAAAAATGGTAATAATTGTTCTCCATGGAAAATTGTAAGGCTATAGCTTTTCAATTACTCCCAGGAAATATGTCCTTTTTTGATAAAGAAATATTCAGCCTTCCTGGATTCATAAGGAAAACCATGAGAGTTGCAAAGGAGTTAAATGCCACAGCGGTAGTGTGAGTAACAAACACTTCTACTATTGTTTTAACACTGAGGGAAGCTATTGGAAAAACTTTCTTGAGAAGTTAATTCTCTGAGAAAATACCCATCTCCACAGGAGAAAATGCTTTGAAAACTGAATAGAGTAAACTACTTATAAAAGTTAACTCAAATCTGGGGTCATTCTGCACAAGAATAGTGAAAGAGAATAGGAGAGCTCTTAGGAGGATCTGCCTTAAAAATGGAATTATATAGGAAATAATCTAGCACCTGAAGGATGCTTTTTGTAGAGTACTTTTTGACCCACAGGAATGGGAAAAGATAACTAGTTTAGATTTAGATTTACTAGCCAACAAGGAGCAATCCTTTCATATTTTGAAATTGGTCATATTTTGAAATTGGTCGCAAAATGAGAGTGACATTTACCTACTGTGATAGTTTTTGCTAGAACAACTAACTGGAAGAGCATCAAATGCTGATAGGATGATAGGATAATCATTAGAGACTCAGGACTGATCTGCATTTTCTGCATGAAGAGAGGTCACCCTACAGTTTAGGAAGGGCAGGAAAGGATGATGTCATCCTCAGCTTGTTGCTGGGAAGATGACTTACCTAACGGTTCTTATTCTACACCAAAGGTAATATTTTCTTCCTTCTGTCAGACATTAGGAAGCCAATCCACCTGTTGCACTTCATTCCATCTTACACCAATGCCCCGGTCTCTACTGTAGCGACTTTGCCCTTCTCTGGATTCCCACTCTCTACCTTGATGAACATTTCATATGAGCTGCCTGCCTTGAAAGGGTGAATTTCCTTTTTTAAGTTAAGTTGTGGAATGGTGACATGCTGGCTTTTTCTTAATTGGCTGAAAGTGAGAACTGTTAACAAAATAAAATAGCAATAGCAATAGCGCTTAGATTTATATTCCTAGTGTTTTACAGCCATCTCTAAGTGGTTTTACAGAGTCAGCATATTGACCCCAACAATTGGGTCCTCAGTTTACTGACCTCGGAAGGATGGAAGGCTGAGTCAACCTTGAGACTCAGTGAGACTCGAACTGCCAAACTACGGGCAGCTGGCAGTCAGAGAAGTAGCCTACAGTACTGCATTCTAACCACTGTGCGACCATAAAATTGGAAGGGACTTTGTAGGCCTTGTGTTTTT